GCGGAAGGACAGTGACTCACTCACTCTTAATATTTCAAAATTGAGGTTTCGAATTTAAAATGGGTAGGGCAGGTCAGTGACTCACTCACTATCAAATTTTCAAAATTTGGGTTTATTAAGTTTACAGACTACAGCAGGTCTTTGACTCACCAACTATCAAATTTTCAAAATAGAGGTTTATAATTTTAAAAGTCAGCGGAAGGACAGTGACTCACTCACTCTTAATATTTCAAAATTTAGGTTTCTAATTTAAAATGGGTAGGGCAGGTCAGTGACTCACTCACTATCAAATTTTCAACATAGAGGTTTATTAAGTTTACAAACCACGTCAGGTCAGTGACTCAGCAACTTTCAAATTTTCAAAATTGACGTTTAGAATTTTTAAAGTCGGCGGAAGGACAGTGACTCACTCACTCTTAATATTTCAAAATTGAGGTTTCGAATTTAAAATGGGTAGGGCAGGTCAGTGACTCACTCACTATCAAATTTTCAAAACTTTGGTTTAATAAGTTTACAAACCGCGGCAGGTCAGTGACTCACCGACCATCAAATTTTCAAAATAGAGGTTTATAATTTTAAATGTCGGCGGAAGGACAGTGACTCACTCACTCTTAATATTTCAAAATTGAGGTTTCGAATTTAAAATGGGTAGGGCAGGTCAGTGACTCACTCACTATCAAATTTTCAAAATTTGGGTTTATTAAGTTTACAGACTACAGCAGGTCTTTGACTCACCAACTATCAAATTTTCAAAATAGAGGTTTATAATTTTAAAAGTCAGCGGAAGGACAGTGACTCACTCACAATCAAATTTTCAAAATTTGGGTTTATTAAGTTTACAAACCACGTCAGGTCAGTGACTCAGCAACTTTCAAATTTTCAAAATTGACGTTTAAAATTTTTAAAGTCGGCGGAAAGACAGTGACTCACTCACTCTCAATATTTCAAAATTGAGGTTTCGAATTTAAAATGGGTAGGGCAGGTCAGTGACTCACTCACTATCAAATTTTCAAAACTTTGGTTTAATAAGTTTACAGACCACGGCAGGTCAGTGACTCACCGACTATCAAATTTTCAAAATAGAGGATTATAATTGTAAAAGTCGACGGCAGGAGATTGACTTACTCTTTCTTAATATTTCAAAATTTTGGTGTATAATTTTAATTGTATAGGTGAGGACAGTGACTCACTCACTATCAAATTTTCAAAATTTGGGTTTATTAAGTTTACAAACCACGTCAGGTCAGTGACTCAGCAACTTTCAAATTTTCAAAATTGACATTTAAAATTTTAAAGTCGGCGGAAGGACAGTGACTCACTCACTCTTAATATTTCAAAATTGAGGTTTCTAATTTTAAATGGGTAGGGCAGGTCAGTGACTCACTCACTATCAAATTTTCAAAACTTTGGTTAATTAAGTTTACAAACCACGGCAGGTCAGTGACTCACCGACCATCAAATTTTCAAAATAGAGGTTTATAATTTTAAAAGTCGGCGGAAGGACAGTGACTCACTCACTCTTAATATTTCAAAATTGAGGTTTCGAATTTAAAATGGGTAGGGCAGGTCAGTGACTAACTCACTCTCAAATTTTCAAAACTTTGATTAATTACGTTTACAAACCACTGCAGGTCAGTAACTCACCGACTATCAAAGTTTCAAAATAGAGGTTTATAATTGTAAAAGTCGACGGCAGGAGAGTAACTTACTCTTTCTTATTATTTCAAAATGTTGGTGTAAAATTTTAATTGTATATGGAAGGACAGTGACTCACTCACTATCAAATTTTCATAATTTGGGTTTATTAAGTTTACAAACCACGTCAGGTCAGTGACTCAGCAACTTTCAAATTTTCAAAATTGACGTTTAGAATTTTTATAGTCGGCGGAAGGACAGTGACTCACTCACTCTTAATATTTCAAAATTTAGGTTTCGAATTTAAAATGGGTAGGGCAGGTCAGTGACTCACTCACTATCAAAATTTCAAAACTTTGGTTAATTAAGTTTACAAACCACGGCAGGTCAGTGACTCATTGACTATCAAAAATTTTAAAATAGAGGTTTATAATTTTAAAAGTCGGCGGAAGGACAGTGATTCACTCGCTCATAATATTTCAAAATTTAAGTTTCTTATTTTAAATGCATAGGGCTGGGCAGTGACTCACTCTCTATGAAATTTTGAAAATTTGGGTTTATTAAGTTTACAGACCACGGCAGATCAGTGACACACCGACTATCAAAATTTCCAAAAACACGTTGATAATTATAAAAGTCAGCGGCAGGACCGTGACTCACTCACTCTTAATATTTCAAAATGTTGGTGTAAAATTTTAATTGTATATGGAAGGACAGTGACACACTCACTATCAAATTTACAAAATTTGGGTTTATTAAGTTTACAGTACACGGCAGGTCAGTGACTCACCAACTATCAAATATTCAAAATAGAGGTATATAATTGTTAAAATCGATGGCACGAGAGTGACTCACTCTTTCATAATTTTTCAAAATTTTGGTGTATAATTTTAATTGTATAGGGGAGGACATTGACTCGCTCTATATCAATTTTTCAAAATAGACGTTTTTAATTTTAAATGTCGATGGCAGGGCAATCCCTCACTCTTAAAATTTACGTCATAATTTAAAATGTATAGGGCTGGACAGTGACTCACTCAATATCAAATTTTTAAAATTTTTTTTTATCAATAGACTACGTCACTACGGCACGTCAGTGACTCATCGTCTCTATCAAATATTCAAAACTGTCCAATTCTTTCTGTTCTCACATACCCCACCCCAAGTTGAAGATATCAATATGAGATTTACACCACTTGATCATCTTAGTTCCAAGGCAAGCTTCCTAAATTTTTATCAAAAAAGTTTCAAAATTGCGGGTTTTATGGGACATTTTGAAAAAATAAAAAAACGCAATTATCTCCGCTTCTAGTGGTCGTAGAACAATTTTCCGAGTATGGTTGAGCTCGTCTCAGCAAGTTCTACAACTATTCTATTAAAAGCAAAATTGTAGGTCAAAGGTCAAGGTCAATTTTCTTGAGCGTAAATTTTCAAACTCAAAATTGAAAACCAGCCGACCATTTTAAATGGATTTTGAGATAGCTAAACGATTCCTCGTGAAATTTTACGTAATATATGTCAAAACTGCGATGAGGTTATTTTTTGTTTAATTTAAAAATAAATAAGAATATTAAAAAACATGTTTTTTTGCAACGCCGAAGGCAGGGTCAACATTATAATCGCCTGTAACATCGTCCTTGATGATTTTAGGTAAAAAGTGATAATAATTAAAGTTGATCCCCTCGTCAAAACCAATCGACTGATGTATATGTCAATGACCTTTGCTGACCTTCAGGTCAAAGGTCACCCAGGTCGGTGACCTGAGGTCATCTGACCTAGATTTATGAGAGGTTTTTGAAAAGGTCTTGTTAAGAAGATAATTTTGGTAATCATCGTTTGGTCTGTACCTCGACTACAAACCAAATGATTGTACTTTTGTTTAATTAAATGCACAATTTTATGAGCAGTGAATTGAAAAAGTACAATTATTCGGCTTGTAGTCGATGAACAGACCAAAAATTGGTCACTAAAATGATCTTCTCAACAAGAACTTTTCAAAAACCTATCATAAATCTAGGTCAGGTGACCTCAGGTCACCGACCTGGGTGACCTTTGACCTGAAGGTCAGCAAAGGTCATTGACATATACATCAGTCGATTGGTTTTGACGAGGGGATCAACTTTAATTATTATCACTTTTTACCTAAAATCATCAGGGACGATGTTACAGGCGATTATAATGTTGACCCTGCCTTCGGCGTTGCAAAAAAACATGTTTTTTAATATTCTTATTTATTTTTAAATTAAACAAAAAATAACCTCATCGCAGTTTTGACATATATTACGTAAAATTTCACGAGGAATCGTTTAGCTATCTCAAAATCCATTTAAAATGGTCGGCTGGTTTTCAATTTTGAGTTTGAAAATTTACGCTCAAGAAAATTGACCTTGACCTTTGACCTACAATTTTGCTTTTAATAGAATAGTTGTAGAACTTGCTGAGACGAGCTCAACCATACTCGGAAAATTGTTCTACGACCACTAGAAGCGGAGATAATTGCGTTTTTTTATTTTTTCAAAATGTCCCATAAAACCCGCAATTTTGAAACTTTTTTGATAAAAATTAAGGAAGCTCTCCTTGGAACTAAGATGATCAAGTGGTGTAAATCTCATATTGATATCTTCAACTTGGGGTGGGGTATGTGAGAACAGAAAGAATTGGACAACTGTAGTTTATAATTTTAAAAGTCGGCGGGTGGGTGGACAGTGACTCATTCTTAATATTTCAAAATTTGGTTCTCTAATTTAAAATGCATAGGCCAGGGCAGTGACTCACTCAATATAAAATTTTCAAAATTATGTTTTATTATGTTTATAGACCACAGCAGGTCAATGACTAACTGACTATCAAATTTTCGTAATAGACGTTTATAATTTAAAATGTCAGCGGCAGGACAGTGACGCACTCACACTAAAAATTTCAAAATTTTGGTTATAATTTAAAATGAATATAGGGCAGGACAGTGACTCACTCAATATCAAATTTTCAAAGGTGTTGTGTTTATTATATTAATAGTCTACGTTAGGCAGGTCAGTGACTCAATGACTATCAATTATTCGGGTTAATTTGAAGAAGTCTTTATAGATTTGAGTCCTGCTAATTTGGACCAAAATTCTTTTATCTTAATCAATCATAAATATTATTTTTTTAAATACAGTTTTCAAGGTTATATGATCAAATCCTAAAGTCTCACTGGAAATAACATGTAAGAACTCTGTAAATGATAGCTTTAACACTGTGCAATGAATGTTCTTCAGAATCCCTCGAGCCCCAAGATATTAAGCTGATGATACTTATTAAAAATAATATTCGTTTCAAGCCCGTTGCCAACATCAATTATGACAGGTGTTTTCTTCTACACTCACTTTTCCATTCTCCCAGCAAGAAATGACGCAAACAGCAGGCGCTGGTGCTTCAGGAAGCTTGTGGTGTCGTCACAAAGGCCAGACTTCCACAGGCCACAGTACTGTTGGCCGTTGGCAAAAAGCATGACTCCTCGGCCGTGGTGTTTGTCTTTTTCTCAAAAGCCTGATATATAATATTTCAACAATTTATGTAATTAGTCAGAAATAATTAAAAAGCTTTGATTAGCAAACCTTTTTGTATTTGGAGCCATCAGAGAATATCAAGGTGCCAAATCCACTGCGCACTCCTTCGCTCCACTCGCCCTCGTAACTGGCCAGCACGTTGTCCTTCTTTGTGACTTTGTAGGTGCCAAGACCTTGTCGCACACCATGGACGTACTGGCCCTCATAAGTGTCTTTACTGGGCAGAACCCGTCTTTCCATCTCCGTGTCTTTGGCCAAGCTCATATTATTCTCGCCTGCGTAGGTCTGGATGTGAATAAATTTAAGTTAAATTTAGTAAGAAAGGTTTAATTAATAGAGATAAAAATTATAATTTAATAAATTGTGGGCGGTGGGCAATTAAAATAAGGGGCCAGTTAGAAATAATTTTAAGTATAATAATTTTAAATAAATAAATCATGTATGTAACTGGTCCTCGTGTTAGCACTCGTAAGTGTCTAAAACATCTTTCCATCTCGATTCGTGTCTTTGGCCAATCTTTTATTTCTCTCGCCTACGTAAGTCTGGATGATATTTGAGCCAGGATTAGAGCAAAATTTGTTAATTTTTGGTTGTAAGTCACCTTTTCCGCCTCCCATCTTTGTTGACAAAATAAATTCTCCGCTGGTCGCTGGTACTTAAGGAGAGTAAAAGGTAGAGGAGGCGCGGAGAGGAGGAGCCTTCCATTGTTAAACTGGTCCAGAGCGCGCTGGTCTCCTAGGAGGTCCGCATCTCCTCTATCTTTTACTTTGCTGACTGGTGCTGGTGACGCTAGATGGCTCTGGCCGTCACCAAATCGTTTTCCAAAACGTCCAAAACCCACTCAACCCCCCACCCCAACCCCTGTGCCCTGTGGTGCTCGGTCTGCTCTCCCAATCTCAATGCTCAAGAAGTGCTCATGCTCTCAAAAGTCTCACATGTTGGTCTCACAGACAGTTTCATGTCATCAAATTAAAAAGTGTCTCAAATATCAACTGCAAGGAGAAAGGAGAATATCCGCAGAATATGTTGTCGAGTGACGAGGCACTTATTTAGCTAAAAGAAAAGAGATCTGATCTGGTAGGTATTATGATTATGTGGATCAATGTGGATTATGTATGTTATGTGCCTTGGATTCATTTTGATTACGAAAAGAAGTGGCGAGATCAATGAGTTAATTTCTCTATAATTTTGTTTTGTGGATCTGGATTTTGTTAAACGTCTATCGATATCATGCAAATTTTATGTTTTTAGCTTTCAAATTAATTTTAATTTCTAATCTCCTTAAATCATATTTTTTGCGCGTGTTTTAATTAAAAGCAAATTATTTTCTGCGTTGAAAAACTCTCAATAATTCCTTTAATTCATATAGTTAATAAATCAAGAGACTTCAGTTGCCAATCAGACCATTGTTAGAACTAGAAGCGTAATTATTATATGAGATATGAGACCCCTTAACTTGACAATAATAGACACATTTTTTTACGCAACAATAAAAAAAATGGAAAATTCTTTTAAACAATTTTACCAATTTTATTCTGGCCAAATATTGTTCTATGGATATTGGAAGTGTGGATTGGACTACATAACCATGTTGTTGGCATTGATATTATTATTAACCTATTTGATTTTTATGGGCCACATATATATTATATAAATGTGTTGTCCAATCCACCTCTGCTACTAATATCCATAAATTGGTCATTGATTTGTGCGAGAAATTTGAATTTTCACGAGTGACTTGGAGCTCTATTTTCAGATATTTCGCTCTAAAGTTGTTAAGGACTCCTTTTTGACTTAGGACTTGTTAGTCAAATCAAGTCTTTACAACAATATGGTGATTAAAATTTCCTATTGTCCTTCAACAACATTGCAAAAATCTGTTGAAAGGACTTGATTTGACTAATATGTCAATAAGAAGTACATCCTTAACTAAAATTTCTGACGAATGTCCGGAGATGTGAGAGCGACGAGAACACCTTAACTTCCTTGCAGCAAAAGTCCGCGCAGAGAGTTTGTCTCTCTAGCAAAAACTTCGACTTTACAGTCTTGAAAAGTGAATTCACTGACGCGAATTTTCACTTTGTTCAAATATATACTTCAACAAATTTTTTATTTTAATGATCTTTTATTATTCACATCCAGACTCACAAAGGCGAGAGAAATGAGCGTGCCAGGCCAAAGACACGGAGATGGAAAGACGGTTCTGCCCAGTAAAGACACTTATGAGGGCCAGTACGTCCATGGTGTGCGACAAGGTCTTGGCACCTACAAAGTCACAAAGAAGGACAACGTGCTGGCCAGTTACGAGGGCGAGTGGAGCGAAGGAGTGCGCAGAGGATTTGGCACCTTGATATTCTCTGATGGCTCCAAATACAAAAAGGTTTGCTAATCAAAGCTTTTTAATTATTTCTGACTAATTACATAAATTGTTGAAATATTATATATCAGGCTTTTGAGAAAAAGACAAACACCACGGCCGAGGAGTCATGCTTTTTGCCAACGGCCAACAGTACTGTGGCCTGTGGAAGTCTGGCCTTTGTGACGACACCACAAGCTTCCTGAAGCACCATTGCGCAATTTACACTTTACCCCGGTGGTTGGAAATATGGAACAGACCAGGTGCGGTTGTGTATGAGGCACCAGTGCCTGCAGTCTGCGTCATTTCTTGCTGGGAGAACGGAAAAGTGAGTGTAGAAGAAAAGAAAGCGCCCCTGTCAAAATTTTGATGTAGGCGAACAGCTTGAAACAAATATTTTTTCTACTAATCTCCCCTGCTGAAAAGCTCGGGAATCAAAATAGTTCCGAGAACTATATTTTGGTTCCCGGAACTAAGGAATAGTTCTCTCAAAGAGGAATATAGTTCCCGGGTCTCTCGAGAACTATTAAAGTAACCATTTCTGTTCCCGTAAGTCAAGATTTAGTTCCCGCTGTTGATAATTAGTTCCCGCTGTTGATATTTAGTTCCTGCTGTTGATATTTAGTTCCCTCTTGGACTTAGAATAAAAAAATTTGAGAACTGATGCCGCATGTATGAAATATAGATAAAAAAGATTTTATATTTATTTTAAAATTTTGACCATACGTGAATTAAAAAAAATCTTTTGAATACAGGCATATCAATTTTGTATGCTTTTTTTAAATTTTAAGTACAAACCTTTAAATAAAATTGATATTATGTTAACGATATTAATTGCATTAAAAAAATTAAGGATTGTAAATTTAAAAATCTGTTTTGAATATTAACACACTAAAATAAAGACTAATGAAAATAGAAAATTTCGGGCAAAAGCTCGTGTAATTCAGGCGCCTCTCCTTTAAGGAACGTTAATTAAATTTAATTGGTTTTATTATCTAAAATTTCCAGCGAAGGGTTTATTAGGTCTTATTATGCAAATGCGGAAGAATTATATAGTTGCAAAATTAATACAATTTGAAATATTTGTAATTTAAAGATTTATTGAGTATTCAACATCAGAAAATATAATTATAAAATACCACTTAGGTTATGGTAATATATGATAAAACGCAATAAAACGTAATTTTTAATGTATTGAATTTAAAATAGCAGGCCAACATGGAATCAAATAGACTGATTTTTGGACCTAAAAAATTATTTTGAAACAATTAAAAATATGTAAAATGGGTAATTAATTAATGATTTATCACAAGACAGGCATCTGTTGCACTTCATCACAACATAATTTTAAATTGGAAAAATTTAATCTTTGCTCAGTAATTTATCTGGCTATAAATTAATTTCACAGACATTTGGTGGTACACACAGAAATTCCTCAACTTTAATCAAATGACAATAGATTCTGCTTACATAGCTCCAAATTAGGACACCCGAATCTGTGTACGGCACAATATGTTTTATTGCAAGGTTTTCCTCGCTGTTTCCAAATCTAGGCAGCTGAAAATCTATTTTATGCCCAATAAATATGACACGATCCCTTGATTTTGCAAAGCATAATATTTTAGCAGGAATTTTTTGTCCATTATTATCATATAAAACAAAGAAAGAGCAAGTTCTTTCAGCCCTCAAGTACATTTCAGATGTAAATATGGCATTTCCCCTCTTAGCTCGAAGATAAAAATTCAATTCATAGGGCAGATTATCGTCAAAAAGTGTAATTGTTCTTGCATATTCGACAATGCAGGAGCTAATTGTATTAAGAGAAAGTGCTGAACCCAATGAATCAATTTCTAAGTGTTTGCTTGAGCTGTTGTCAACATTTGCCAAGTAAGTCAATATATTTAAAAAGTTGTGTATCCGCATAGTGTTTGAAATTTCAATGGCTACTTTTGTACCAGTTCCATGAATTACTTGTCCTAACCGGAAGTTTGCCGACTCAAATATAAAAGTTGAGTGGCTCCAGAGCGGACCAAGGTATTTAACCTTATCTGCGTAATGAAGTAGAACATGCAAATTAAATGTCTGGTCGCAAGTTCTGTACATGGAGGCATAATCTCTACAATATTCTTTAAGAGCCCTTTTAGCATCACAAATTTCGTCAGTGGTTATTTCATTTTTGAGTAGAGTATGAATTGCAAAAACTAATAATGAATGATGATTTAAATATCGATCAGGCCAAAAAAGTTGCAAACACGGCAACGAAAAGAAGAGGAGCCAATTTCGAAGCTCACTAGCTTTCCAATATTTCTTAAGCTCAAGGCTTCTCGGTAATCTCTTAACAAAATTAGGAGGACACAGTGACTTAATTTTTTTGTCTATCACTTCCACAAAATTTCCGATGTAAAAATCGTTGTTTCTATTTTTAGAATCAGTAATGGTGTAAATATGGCGTTTAACAACTCCCAATAGACATGAATGTAAATAGTCTGGCGAAAAACTTTTCGACAAATCAAAATTTTCTAACAAACCCATGCAAGAATATCCCTTAACACCTTTCCTATGGTTTGTTTTTTCGTCATTAGGCAAATGTTTTTCTGAATCTTTGATTTTCATAAGTTCGTTTGCATTTCTTAACATGGAAATGGAAGACCTAGCAGGGTATGACTGAGTCCTGAATGGATAAATTCTGGCTTGCCCAATGCCAACTTCAATACGTTCTCCAGGAATTTCACAAAAACTGCAGCCATGAGCTCCATTGTACATATTCAAATTTTGCATTGGCCCTCTTGCTTGAGCATCTACACTTGACGCTATAACAGAAATTCTGCTAATTATTTTCTCTTTAGTTATAGGGTGGGTCCATTCGATCCCATCTTTTCCAAATTTTTCCATGATATTTACAAATTCTTCTAAAAATACTGACATGTCAGGCTTAACAGGGGCGTACCAAATACTGTGCATTATTATGAATTTTGATCGTAAATTTGGGTTGATATCTGAAATAATTAGGAAATTTGGCCAGATTTGGGTCTTAGAACTTCCAGCTACTGGGAATCCATCGGTGTTCTGAATAAGGCAAAGGTCGTATTCAGAACTTCTATTTACTTTTAAATAGGATTCAGAATCAACTATATCTCTTATAACATTTGGAGGTTTATCTTTGCGAAATTGGCTATAATCATCTATCAATTTTGAAAGGCCCTTCTTTTCAAACATATTTCTTATTGTAATATCAATTTGATTTTCGAGATAAATTGCTGATCGCTTTTCTTTACAGGATGGACATTCATTTTTATCATTACCACCGTAATCTAATAGGCAGCTGCCACAGTAGTACTTCACTTTCGGTTTTTCATTGTTGGGAGAAATATCTTCCATCATTTTCATAAACAAATGCTTTGATTTGGGGAATATTGAATCAGGTGGCAGAATTTCGCTAATGAATTCTATTAGATCCCCTAACAATTTTTTTGAACAATAGTTGTCTTTAAATATTTTACAGATTTTGATTAATGCAGATCCTAACGTGTGCTGGCTGCCATCAATCAAAAATGTGGCTAGATCTTTCATTAAAAACTTGCCAAAATGATAATTTTGAAAATCATCATTGTCACTGTCTTCTGCAGATGACTCACTGCATGATGGAGTGTACCATTCCTCCATATCACTGTTTTCTGAATCTTCGATTTGTTGACTGCCCGGAGTATTGTTGACTGTGTCCAACGTGACTTCCGGTGCAGCGGCGGGGTCCAAAGTTAATGAGGTATCCATGGACATGACCGTTTCTTGAGAAATTCCGTCTGCGAAAAGAAATGTTTAAATTAAAAAACTTGCTATTTGATTTATTTTTTAGTCTTTGATATGGGACTCATTACTTACTAAAAGCCGGTCTTATTTAATTAAAAATTTCTTTCACTGCGAGCATTATCAAGGTCAAGACAAGAGGGGTTAATAAAACATACCTTCATCAGACAATATCCGCTCGTCTACACTGCTCTCGCTCTCGTCGGATATTCCACAAAGAGCGTGACGTTTAGCAGTCCGCTTATCGATCTGTAAAAATAAAAAAAGAAAGGAGATAAATTTAAATATTCATTTGCTCCAAGACGAAAAATATTTTTACGAACCCTAATTGATCTGTCGAAAAACCCCTTGTTGTATGAACCAGGCCCGCCTCTTCTACGGCGAGGTCTGCCTCTTTGCGTTGAACAACTCGCAAGATTATTCATGATGATTGAGATTATGCTAAATTTGTCAAAATAGCACAAAATCACGCGATCGACCCATCAATATCAATCAATTCACGAATCGACCGACGCTGGGACGCCGCGTCATGTAAACATGTAAACAATAAGCAAAGCAATAGGCCTCGCAGTATTGCCAATACCTAAAATTGAAATATTATTTTTTTTTTAATATCATTTCTGGTGAAATCTTGATTAAGATACTAAAATTAAAATTAATTTTATTATATAACTTCTGATAACTTTTTCTTCGTTATAATGTTAGGAAATCTTTGTTTTTGTGGATATGTTAATTTTCCAGAAGGTTGGTACTTTTAGTATTTTATTGGTTGAGCTTATCACGTGACCAGTCACATGATATTATTTCAAGCGGATTGGCGGCTGCAAAAAGCATTTACCTGGTAAAAAAAAATAAATATTAATTGAAAAAAGCATAATAGAAGAATGATTCAATTCAGTTTCACTATGATATAATAAAAAAATTAATTTCAATAATTATAAATTTTCAGGATCAATTATTGATATGTATATCGTTTATTTGTCTACAGTACGTCAAATGTTTGTTTGGCTCCGAGGTAATTTAAATTAGAAAAATTAAAAATGATAAATTAAATTTTTATTAAAATAAATATAGAATTTCAAAGAATAATTGAAACTTACTTTAATAAAAGAAAATAGTTTTTTTTAAATTTGAAATCAATAAAAAATAATTATTGAAAATACATGAAGCTTCGATTACCATTAATCATTAATTTTTTTTTTCAATAATTTTGCGACCAATTTTTTGTCATAGGTTATTTTACTACAGAGGAATAATTTTTTTTATTTAAAAAAATCTGATTTCTATAAAAAGTTTTTCGGTTTTCTTTTCATTAATTTTTTTTTTTTCATTTTTTCAATACAACAGATTTTAGCACTTTAAAACTTCCATTACATGGAAGTTTAAATGGGATGATTTTTTTAGTTTCTTCTAAAAATAAAAAAAAAATTATCTCATCATTTGTGTAACAAGAAGACGACACAAAACGGCACCTCTATTCTAATGTTCCTTTTGTCACTCTCGCGTGATATATTATTGTGAAATGAAATAGATGAATAATTTAATTTCCTAATTGTTTTCAATTTTTTAAGAAGATTATTTTGCTTGACCTTTTCTATAAATTCCTAATATAACCCAATACCGCGGTGCACGCGAATTCGATATTAAAATATTAATTTGTGATGTAACAGGGAGTATGGGGCAGGTATGGGGCTAGAGAGCCCCAACTGGGGTCGTGAAGGTGGCAGCACCGAGAGTAGCCGGTGGTGCTCTCTGTAGTGGGTGGCGAGTGCAGCATTGTTTACTGTTTTGGCTTCCCATGCTGGCATTGCTGTTTTAAGACGCCACGTTTTTGTGTTTTCAACGATCATTTTATTTTTCTGTGCTGTTTTGTTTAAAAATGACGACCATTAGGAGAAAACGACGTGCCGCTCAAGATATCCAAGAAGAGGACACGATCGAAAAAACAAACGATTACGGAATCTGGGTCTGCTTTGATATTGACAAGGCTGATTATGTTTATCGAGCATACCAACTCGATTTTTTCCGGGAACTGGAATATGAAAAGGCCTCGTCCTACGTAGGAAAATCCGTAAAAATTCGGTTGAAGAAAAAGGAATACGACGCGGAGGTGATTAAAGTGCACCGTAAGTTTTTTTTTATCGAAAATTCTTCAAAAGATTAAATTGCATTCCCTGGTAATCAAATGCATTTTGCGCCATGCTTGATTATTTTGTCGCTTAATTTGTTTATTGCTGCATGGGATACCTTTAAAAATCTAGTAAGCTGCAAGTATTGTTATTTAGATTGCAGATATTTCTTCAAACAAGAAAGAATTTGAGATAATTATTGTTATTCTCCCAGATTATCATAATGTTGGGTTTTTGGGCGCCATGATCGGTTATTTTGGGACGGGAGTCGGGACCATGTTCGAGCATCTCAATCTCATGTTTTGCTTTTAAATGGGGCGGCCAACAATTGATCATCATATATAGCCTTAAATAACTGACTTGCTCAAACCTATTCATATTTACAGAAAATTCTACTTTTAACTCGATTCATTTCAAATTTAAAAAAAGTTTTTTCTTTTCTGTAATTAATATCTTATTATATGTGGAAATAAATCTGCTTTTACATATATTTAAATAATTTTTTCCAGTGGAACCTGACGTTCTGGATAAGGAGTTGGACGAGCTGTTAAGTGAGATAAATGATAAAGAGGTCTTTCAGCCTTTAACTGAAGAAAACAAAACAAAGGCTGGCCGCAAACCGAAGCCATCTATTAAGGTGGTGGAATCCACTGAATGCAAGGACAAGAAAAAACTATTAGCCGCTAAACGTTTGAAAAATGATCACAGCAAGGAAAAACGCGAGGTAATTATTAATTCAGAATTTTTGTTTTATAATCATATTCATATTTATACGTAACAAATTTTCCCTCTTTTTTTCAAATAATTGAATCCTTTTTATTTTATGAATGATTTATTTTATAAAGATGAGGGCCAAACAGAAAATTATATTTGATGAAGTTAAAAATTTAGCTGTTTTTATTTTGTGTAAAAAAATTATTATTTGTAGGCACTAAAACTGAAGGTTCATGAAAATGAGGAAAAGTCGTCCGCAATTGCTGAAAAGCTTAACCAAAAATTTTCCCACTTGGTTGAAGACGAATCAAGTGAAGAATATTTTGATGCGAATATTAAGTTATCTGTTTCTGCTGATGCCTATTCGTCGATGAAAAAAACCCGAGACGAAGCTTTGGAAAGATTTCAAAAATTGGAGCAGAAGTACGAAAGACTGACTGCCGAAAGCAAAAAGATTGCCGAGGAAAATGTCTCCCTACAACTAAAAATATCTTCCCTTGAGGACGAAAAACTATCTTTCTTGAAGGATCTTGAAGGGAAAAAAGGTATCCCCCCCCTTAATTTTCACCTTTTCACACTAATTTTTAATTTTTTAGCATTGGAAGCTGCTCTTTTAACCCTTCAGCAATTGATTTCTGATCTCAAGGACTTCAAAAGTTCTAAAAAAAATGAGGAATATTGTGAAGATCTTATACGTTCAACAATTGAAGGCAAACATCGGGTATTGTTATTTAATGGAATTTAAAAACAATTTTAGCAAATTCCTTTTCAGATCAAAACCCCCGAACTTGCCCTTTCCCCAGAAGCAGAAATTGAAGAAGACGACTCATTGGTGTTTTCCAGCCCAAATGGTCAAAGCACATTTATAAATGGTGATGATGACTTCGATGTTGACGTTGGCATTCATGAAGAAATGACCGTAATTTATAGTCTGAACTATTAATCTACATAATTTTTCCTTATATGTGATCTTTTTTAGTCTCATGACACTGAAGAGGAGGCTTCTAAAAAAGATGACAACAATGACAATTTGGACGGCTTGGATAAAAATTCCACACCAGAACCTAGAATTCAGAAAGGAAAGTTGTAAGTAATCGAAAAATAATAAGATTATGAAAAAAGATTTAACTAAAATTCCAAATAAAATCTAGAAAAAAGGCTATTCCGGTTGCTAAAATCCATAATTTCTCTGACGTCTACAAAAGATTACATAATAATTTGGAACGCCAGCTCAAGTATCCTATTGGCCATGAGATATACAACTCTAAAGAGGTAAAAATATAATTCTTTTCATTGAATTCGATAGTAAAATTTTCTTTTTAAGGAAATGAAGATGCTTAGCTCTTTGGTTGGCGTAATCAGAAGTGATTATCGCAGATTATTGCGACAGTGCCACACCCCAGGTGCTTTAATTGGAGGAACTATGAGATTAGCTGTGACAACCGAGGCCTTAACATACTGCTCTGTTATGGGCCAATCTAAAGGACGCTCGGGGAAGCCCCCAAAACCAGGACTTCACACTGTCATTACTGATTCGCTTTTGGGTAAATTTTGCTAATATTTGTTTCATTTAACAAACAATTAATACGTGTATTAAAACTTTTTCAGATTCTGTTAAAGATGCAAGACTACGTCACTTGAAATATGCAGAAAAGGTCAAGGCGCAAGGTTTTATGGACAAGGACATGGCTAATAATCCAATTAAGCCAAAGAACATGGACACTGACTGGACAACGAAAAAGTGCGAAGACCGAGCTGCCCTGAAGAGAGCACTCAACAAACTCCTGGGCAAATTTTCCTCTGACGAAGATGAAGGTGCTTCAACATCATCTCAGCAACAGCAACAGCAAAATCCGACAGAGAGCAACAAAGAAAGCAACAAAAGTTTAGTGATTGTGCCTCCTAATTAACAAAACAGAAGCAGTGTGGAGACTGTGCTATTAATTTTATATTTTTCTTTTACAAACTTATTCTGTAGTTCCATTGTGTACAAATGCCCTTTTAAAAAGTTTGTGCAAATTTTCACCATCCCAATATTTTGGTTGTATTTTACAGTCAATATCATGTATTTTAAGAAATGAAATTTTTTATTTCTTTTAATTTTTAACCAAATTTTGTAACTTATTGCGGGAACTATCAGAGGCACTATTTCATTCTCTGTCAGAAGGGAACAGAGAGGGGGAACCATTCAAGGAACAGAGAGAGGGAACTATATAGGGAACAGAGAGAGGGAACTATATAGGGAACAGAGAGAGGGAACTATTCGGGGAACAGAAATGGGGAACTAAGCGTCAAGGGAACTAAGTGCAAAATGGCTACTAAAATAGTACCCGGGAACCAAGTCTCTGAAGAACTATCTGGGGAACTATAATTTTTCAGCAGGGTCATCAGCTAAATATCTGAAAAAGGGATTTTGATGAACAATTATTACAGTGTCATTTGCAGAGGCCTGTTATGCTATTTCCATCAAAACATTATGTAGGATTTCATTATATAATGTTTTGATATTTTGTGCATTTTTGCAGATTAACAATTAATATAATACTTCTACGAATATAAGAAAGACACAATTTTGCTCAAAATCTACCTGACTAAAAAGTTATATAAAGATTTTATCAAATTAACTTTTAATAATTACAAATCTGTTGTGAAAATTAAATAATTTTGATAATTTGCTTCAAAACTTATAGTTAATTTTCTTTCCAATTTCCTAGTGGATTCTTTTTGAGACCCTTGTAAATAATTTTTTACAGCCGAGAGGACCTGGAGTTGTTGCAAGCGAGCTTTACTTTCTGAAGGGAAACTTCTTTTTCAAGGATGAGTGGCGCATCTCAAGCCACCACCCCATTTCTGAACTGGAGGGGCATCAATATCCAAGGCTCCCCCTTTGAGAGCATCTTCGATGTCCTTCGTCCTGCTGCTCAGATGGTCAACACTACATTTAAAGTCTTTATTCACAAGTTTGCTTGTTTGTTAATTGCTAATTATAATAAACTAGTTGCAGATTGAGAGCATTTCTGTGGTGAAGGATTTGTTACCCCTCGACTAGTAGAAAGTAGTTTGAAGAGCATTGCCAGTATATGGCTTCCTCGAGCAGCCAAGACTTTGGCTCAACAACTGAAACAAGTCTTGTCAGAGCAGTTCCAAGTAAGAGGGCAATGCAAAAATATACCTCTTGTTATGATTCTAAAGTTGAATTTTTGATATAAACAACACAAACTTTTAATATTTAATAAAAGAAAAACAGCAATAACAAAAGGGATAAACAGACAATAATTGCAAAACTTAATTTAAATATGTAGCAGCCTCCATCCATGTCTGGTGAAGACTTATCGGCTGGTGCTTATTACAACTGTTGAATAATGCACAGTTATTTTTTACATATATGCAAAATTTGCATTGTTATTAATTATAATATTTATTAATTGCGCTTTTTAATATTTTGTTATAAGAAGAATTTTTATTTAACTTTATTGGCATCATATTATATTATTCCACAAAGGAGGCATTAAATTGATTAAATCTTCTGATTTTAGATCTAAGTACTTATTCTCTCTCTTTGGTTATTTAAGTAATTAAATTTGAGAATTATGTGAAGGATTATATGGAACACCATGCTCTGACTAAAAATAATTATTTAACGCACAACAAATTTAGCTCCAAAATCTTAACTACAGGCAGAATATTCCAAAATTATAATTGGTTAGCAATTTTAAAGTTTTTACTTTCCCGGCCTCATTTTATAAAGGAATTTTTCCTGCAATGATTTAAAGAGCAATGAGATTATTTTCATCGCCCTAAAAATCTTGTAATTTATGTCCGAGTGAATGCATTTTCATATATTTTATGTGTAACTTTGTCGGGTTTCTTCTTGAATCCCGCGCTTTTTTGCTCAGTTTTATTATGTAAACAAAACGAACACAATTTGTTTTTATTTAATCTGGACTAATTTTTCGTCTATAAAAAGGTTTGCATTTTTGAAATATAAAATAATTGTATTTACTGTCAAAATTTAAAATTTTCATCGATTCATAGTTGAAAGGGGCATTGGGGGAATTAACTGACTGGCATATCCCCCTCTCCCTAACAATATGTACATAATTTTTGTGTTGTGTACATTCTTAATTTAAGCTGCAGATAGTGCAGATTTGAAAAATAACCGTTAGCAGTGCGTGATCCCGTAAGTTCTGTAGCCTCCCTAACTATTTAAACTTTGCCCAAGTTTCCATTTACTCATTATTTTAGGAGGTATGGAGCGTAATTATTTATACTATATATTTGAAAAACATTTGTGTGTGTTCTCTCTATAGCTCCAACGCCTCCAACGTACAATTGAAATTTTTGCCGACTTTTCCCTTATATCTTATATCCATTATATTTTTTATTTGTTCCAGGAACTCGACTTGACTGAGTCTCTTGCCAGTGCCTTTGAACGATATCGCTCACCTCAGCTTCCAGATCATGGCTGCAAACGTCGCTCCAGTAAGAATTATTTAAAAAATTTTAAATCATTTCTAACAAAAGAATTTTTCAAATTCATTATCATGTCTGTGAATATAATTATGTGCCATAAAATAATAATTATCCATTTTTAGTGGCTAGACACTACAGGACTTCCTGTTGATACAGTGGCTGCACTCCGAGGACCTGCGATTCCCACCCTCCAGTTCCTTCAAAATCTTCCCAAAATCGAGCTGACCACTGCGCTGCAGAACAACTTGGGAGTGGCCCACCTTGGGTGGGGTAGGTGTTATTCATTTATCTTTATTGAGAGGGTTCTTTATTGAAAAGGGTTTTCTGACAGTGACATGATTAAATTAGCTCATTTTTCATTTCTTTTAATAATACTGCCTGACACTCGCCTGTCAAATTTTTTTTTTTTTATGATATTATTCCCTCTCATTTTATTGTTTGTCATAAGTGATTATTACCTGCATTAACTCCGTAATTAATGGATTTTGCCTTGACATGGCAGTAGTTTGCACTGGCACACAATTCATCCCAACGTCTTGTTTGATACCAATGAATTTCCGCAGTTTTTGTAAAGTAATTGGGAAATTTCCAAACAAATTCTGGAAGTTTAATTAGGTTTATTTTATTGATTTCTTAATTTTTATTTTTCATAAGTTAATTGATTTTTCCATAATAAATCATTTTTATGCATTGGTTAACAGGCAGACCTGCGCTGGCTCTCGAGTTGAGAGGATTTCTTCTGATGGCCAATCGTGCTGTAAAACCAGCTGTTTTGTGCATGAGATGCCATACCCGTGAGGCCAAGCTCATTTTCATTGAGTGTATGCACTTTGGAGTTTGCACCACCTGCCAGGAGATAATGCTAGACTTTGATATGCACCGCCAAGGGGACGAACGGCAGTGCAAATGCCCTGAGTGTGGTGCTAGACACACTCAGGAGGACATGAGAGATGTAAACGTTGTTCAATAGAACATATGCTGCTCAGATGTTCAACTATAAATTTAAAGTAAAAATTCACAAGTTTTCTTGTTTGTTTATTTTTAATTAATGAATTATAGTTGCAGATGGAGAGCTTTTTCTCTGGTGATGGTTTTGTTGTCTCTCAACCAGAAAGTAGCATGAAGAGCATTGCCAATGGCTTCCTGGCAGCAAAGACTTGGCTCAACAAGACTCGTCGGAGCAGTTCCAAGTAAGAGGGTGCAATGCAAAAATATGCCTCTCAATTTATTTCTAATAGACAAGACTACTTTCAATATTAATTGAGAAAAAACAGCAATAACTAAAGGATAAACAGACAATAATTGCAAAACTTTATTTAAATAAGTAGCAATAATATTAAAACAAATTAATTTTATTAATATCACTCGTTATTCCAAACCAAATCCTTCTGCGTTTGCTATAGCAATTGTCAGTTTTTTAATTAATATCACTTTGCTGGGATACGCTGGTAGCACCAACTGATTGAAGCAAGTGTGAGCTTCAGGGAGGTCCTCAACGTTGCCACTTGACTTGGTCACTTTAAAAGTCATCTCTCCCGTTCCGCCCACGGGCACTCGATCACTTCCGGTGACAAAAAGTAAAAATTTTCTTTGCATATCTGAACCGAGTGATTCAAGTACGTCCCACAAATTACTATAAAAAAGTAAATTACTTGATGAACATAAAAATGGTTAAATCAATTACCTTATTATCAGATCATCAGGTCGATAACCATCATACTCTGTCACTTTTCTCAACTCTGCCAAATCGACTGTCGGAGAGCCGCAAACAAGCAGCTCCACCTCCTCAGGTCGAAGAAGCTGTGATTTGTATTTTTTTTTTTTTACTGAAGTTTATTGAAAGAAAATTTTTGCAATTACAATTAGTGCATTAGAGGCGCAAACGCTGTGAAAGCCAAGATAGAAAGCTCGGAATTGCCGGTAAATGGACGCATTCAGCACCCAGTCCAAGTACAAGGCCACAAACTCCTCCCTGTTTTCGTTGGTCACGTGCATTTTGTCGCCGTTCGGCTTCAAGGGCCACGTCCTGACCGACCCATATTCTTCCAAGGACACTTCAAAAGACATGCACATATCCTCCTCCACATTTCCTTCGTAGGCGAGCAGCTCGCTTATACCTTTGGCCACGTCCTGCAATTTGATTTTAATTTTAAGCACTTAATAAAGCAATGTATGATTTTGTATTCTTAGATTAAAAATAACACAAAATTTGAAGACTGAAATCAATATTTGCGTTTCATCCCTTGGGAGTGAAAAGTTTTCCATCCCAAAGTCATAAAGTTTTCTGTTTTAGAATAATATAGTGAAAATGGGAAAAATTTTAGTGCGTCTTTTCAAATTTTCACATACAGGCATAATCTCTGCCAAGTCATCAATGGTCGGCTGCTGCACTACCCCTAAAAGTACAGACTCGTCTCCCGGTGGAGGCGGAATGGGCGGCGAAAGTAGTTTTCTATAACAAACTGCGGGGAGATGCAGATCAAGTATTGTCGAGTTGTACACCTAAAAGGTCATTTATTTCAGGAAATTCAATGCTTTTTTATATTCCTCACCGCTAAACCCATAAGAACACCTATTAAGTGGTACTCGCGCAGACCGGGCGCTTGAGCCAGATCTTCTTCACTAATATTTCCAACGGCGTATTGATCTTCATTCATGTCCATCGTGTCTTCAGTACTAAACCAGTATGAGTGGGAATGACGGTGGTAGACAAACATTCCATAATCCGGCTGTAAATTAAAAAATTATTGTTATTTTTTTTTTAAATAAAAAATATTTCCAACCTCAAAAATTTGACGCACTAAAAGTAGGAACCACTCTTTGGTCAGTCCACCCATGTCCAGGCCTGGCTCGCCAATGAAACTAACTTTTAACTTTTTCTTGAGTTCACCCTGTTTGCTCGCAATCTGAGTAAAAATATTATTGAAAAAAAAAATATAATGGAAATAATGATTTATATTTATTAATATACTTGTTTTTGAAGATTTAAAATATTTTTAACTTGAAAAGCGTAATAAATATAATTATCAGATATTTATTTTTTATTTTTGTTAAATGGGCCAATCTCTATTAATAAATTTCTTCACACAAAAAATGAATCTATACTTTTGTCTCATTTTCAGTTTGACAATCTATTTTGTTAGCATCTAAAATTTGGAAAGTTGAAAAACCAGATATAAAGGAAGTAAAAAAAAAATATATATTGCAAAATTTCTTGAACAAGAATGTGTCTAGGATAAGCCCATTTTTCTGTTCATGATGGTCTCACGTAGAGAATACAATTACTTTTACCTCGTTTAGAGAGTCTGAAACTAGATTAGATCTCCTAACTCTTATATTCAGGAAGAAAATGTCAATTTGAGGTGGATGTCTTCTTGACGCTTTAGCTGCCAAGGAGCGTCTGGCGTTTAATATCATTTGCTGCTCCGAATCCTTAATTGTGTAAAATTTGAGCAAAACATTTTCTTTTTAATCCATCAACGAACCTTCGTCAAAATGTATCTTTTAGCAGCGATGCTCAAAAGAAACGGAAACTGGCAGTAGCTGAACTTGTTGGGTGTGCTTTGCCACAAGCAGTACTCTTTCAGCAAATCAACGTGGTCCAGGGCCATGTTGTATAGTTCGGAAAAGTGGATCAGCGGCGGTGAACAGCTTTCGTTAGCAGCGTCTTTGAATTTGATATTGATTGAAAAAAATGTTATTTTAAATAAATTTCTATACTCACTGACAAGGGCAAGGACTCTTGCTGCGGCTGGGATCCACCACCTGCTCTTGCCAGGGGGCGGCAAAACCTTTCCCGAAGGTGGAAACTGGCGAATGGCCACAAACTGGGCAATATGACGTATCACAGTTCGCAACCTCTCTGGTCCTAAACTGAAATTTAATAAAAAGATTATTAAAAAAAATTTAAGTTGGTGCAAATTTTATTTTTATTTTTAAAGAAACAACTATTTTTCCCTTCAATCTTTCATATTGATAGATACTGTATGACCACGTGGAAAATGGAATAAAATTTAAAAAAAAATCATGCAAAAAACTCACAGTCTAAAATAATGAGGCAGTAAAGTGCGCTCAGGGGCCGGAAGCGTAGCTGCCCTGCGAAGGACGTGTGCAAAAATCGTGTAGGACCTCTGGACGGAAAATACAGGACTCTGCAGAAGGGCGAAAAGGGCTTTGGCCTCGTCTTCCGATCGCAAACTACACATAAATTTCATTGTCAATAAATTATTCAAAGCGCTTCGATTTCTCCTCACCTTGGCCTGTCTTCAAGTAACGAATTGATAATTGACTTGAGTACCGTTTTGTGAATGGTTGAAGGCTGGAAAAATAGATTGACAACATTTCTGACGAGAAAGCAATTTTTTTTCATACCATTCCTCTTAAGGCGTCGTTGATTGCATGCAGCAATTCTAATTTTATCCCACTTTCTGAATTTGAACCGTCGTCCTGAAAGTTTATAAAATACAAAAGTGTTATGTCTATTCAGGGAAACACGCGAATGTGTCGATTTATTCGCAAAAGCGCTCACGGATATTAGGGCACATAGTTCGGTGTGAGATGAAAATATCCGTGCGTAGAAGTTTTGAATGCTTTGGTAGTGTAAAGTTTGGTGCGCCCGCCTCACTTCTTGTCTGCAAAAATAAATCAACATCAAATTTATTGTTCGACAAATATTTAATCAGTTCATTACTTAAAATTTTATTATTTTGTTAAACAATAAAATTTTTATTATTCCTAAATTTAAAACAAAATTGATTATTGGACGCCTTCAAGATAAAACATGTACGCAACCTGCTTTGCATACATGTCTAGCCGGTTGCATATGCTGTACAATACGCAAATTTTCAACATTCTTTTTACAATTAATTCCGTTCAGACAACACTTAAAAACAAAACAATAGTAATGACAATTCTTGCATGCAAATAATTAGCAGTTTCATTGAATTGTGATCCCAGATTTAATGGCGAAATTATTTAATCTTATTTACATAAATTGTTATAATTAAATAAAATGGAATATTTTACTTATTTTTTATTTTAAAACTTTAATTAATTTTTTTAGATCAAAATTGAAATGTAATTCCACAAAATAAAAATAATCGTTCAATTTCACATAATTGTAATACATTGAAAAACAGAAGTATGAAATAAATCAGATATTGCTTACATTTTTTTTACAAAATATTTAGTTTATTTAAAATCTTTACTAAATAACTTAAAAAATAATCTTATATTTAATATTTTGTAATACAATTGGAAACTTTTTGCTTTGCTGATATACGCAACTGGCCAGACATTGGAGTAGAGCAGGTTGCATACCATAATCTCAAAATCGTAAGAAAACTGAGTGGCAAAATCGGCAAATATGACTTTTTAAGAGACTATCGCAAGAAATAGAGCATTTTGGAAGAGGTAGGAGGCGCCAGTACGAAATTGTGCCATTCTGAAGTCTGAAGGAGCTTTTTTTAAAGGATTAAATATTTGCTGCGAGATAAAGATAAGACCGGCCGACGCTCAAAGGGCAAGTGGCTGACAGTGCCTCGCGCCAATTCAACATGCACGCCCATTTGCGTGCCATTCCTGCTTCAGCGGCAAGCGAGCCTTCTCTTTCAATTTTCAGCTCAGCCCCTCGAAATGATACATGCGGAATATTTAAGCAACCGAAAGAGTCCCATCCGATTATTATGTGAATGCATTAGCGCTTCTGCTGCATCGATAAATTAAATATCTCTCTGGTCGCTTACTAGGTCACTCGGCTGGACTGGGGTTGGGGTTTTTTATATGAATATTTATTAACATATTTCTAGTCTGGCCTGGTTTGGATTACATTTCTTTTTTCCAAGGGAAGTGAATTAATTCTGAGGTGACGAGAGTCGTTATTAAATTATTTTCATAAATTTTTAAATTATCTTATTATTTTAAATAATTCAAAATAACACTCCTTTAGAGTGTGAGTGACAAGATTAAATTTTTGTTATTAATGGGTCTGTAAATTTATTGAAAACTCTTACTGTTTATAATAATAAATAGCCCTTTAATTAATTATACGCAATTTAATTTTAAATAAAAAAAACTGATATTAGTAAGCTAGAAAGTTTTGTTTTGAATTGATCGAGGTTCAACATGCACAGACTCGGTATGACAGCAAAGTGGTGCGCCAGTGTTGATTGATCAAATAGCAGTTTTTGTGTGTTGTGTCTCTCGCGCCGTGGCAACCACCTCTGGCTTTTTCACACCAAACATATGTGTGTGTTCATTTGGGGTGGAAAATGCCAAATCAATTTAATGAATCGATAAATTTGCAGCGGCACATTCAAGAAAGGGTTTATTATAGGAAAGGTGTTAACCTTGCCCACGGACGCGACAAGAGCAAATATTTGCGTAGCTTAAAATCGATGCTGATTGTGAGACAATGGATTGGGTACTCACAAAAATTGCTCCCTTGAGAACGAAGAAAGATCGTCTGATTTTCCAAAATAGTTGATCGGGGATTCAGGAGACTCGGGGGCCTGGTGAAGTGAGTAGCTCCTTGGAGTAATGCCGTTTTGGTCATGAGGTGGCCAGGCTGCGCCGTTCACGTCATTACCCTTTCAAGAAATCAAACAAGACACGTCACCATTATTTCTTAAATTTCTGTATAGTAAAAAAGTGGAAGTAATAAATAATTTTGGTTAATGGTTTTATTTCTTCATTAAATAAAATTTGACGTGTAAAAGATTTATTTAAAAAAGCTAAAAATATTAGTTCTCCTCTTTTATTATAATTATCATCAAATGTGCACTTTTGAATATATGGATGGTGCATTTAGGCGGAGATATTAGGTTGGTGTATCCATAACATAACTTGAAACTGTATTTGAGTTTTACTCTTTATTTTAATGTTATTGTGATATTAATTATAATTTCAATTTCCGCAAAATATTCAGAAGCTTTTATTTATTTATTAAAAATACCTGTGCAATTGGTGGCAAGGTGGGTGAGGGTGGTCGCAGGAACAGGGCGCCCACCCTGGTGACCTGAACCGAGCCACCGAGTCTGCTGATTGTCAAATTTCCAAATTGAGAGCCTCTGCTTTGCTCGATTTGCGGCAAGTGCAGCATTTGCTCAGATGAGTTTCGCCAAAAGGAAATTGCACCTTCAGTCTCGTACTCGTGGCCACAGTAAGGGCAGCACGAGTGCGAGGTCAGGGTCACCCTGGATGTCACGCGGCATGAGGGACACGTCAAAAGAATCGCTTCAGAGGACATTCCCTGAATGTAAAAATAATAAATATGAAAATGGTTGGCAGCTAAAATTTCAGTTTAAATTTATATTTTGCTTATTTTTTTAATTTTACACAAAAAAATGTAAAATAATCTTTTATCAAAACTAAAAATTTATTATTTTTTATTGTGGAGCATAATAGTTCTGCTTCCATAAGATCCATTCCATATTCTGATGATTTTCGGTGCAAATTTCTTTTATTGATTTTGCCATTGAATAACTGATTGAGCTGATAACGTTTTATATCTTGTGAATAATAGACATAGTGAATTAGTAATTAAATTTTTAACTATGTAAGATGACAATTTAAAAAATAATAAAAAAAATTAGTAGTTATTTTCTTAACAAGTAAATTTAGCAATACATTTTTTGCTAAAAAAGCAACAAAATAAAATATTATATAAATAAATTTTTCTAAGGAAGAATAAAATGATTAAGAAAAATGTTCTTGAGCATATCACGCAAAAACTTACCTCTGATTTCGCGCGCCTACTTCTGCCCTTCTTTTTCTGTCTTACTCTTGACCTGCTGAGGCGCCTCTCTTCGAAGGCCTTGGTCAGCAGGTCGTAGTGCCCATCATCGTCTTCATATTCCTCCTCATCCTGCTGCTGTTCAAGGGGGTGTCGAACTGTACGAAAGATTCGCAAACGCACATGGATCATTCGCCCTCATTCGATTATCTCGCGTGTGAACCTCCGGCCAGACTGGTGGAAAAACGGCCGCTCTTTTCCAAGTCCAACCTCGTGTTGGATCGACAGAGGGTGGAAAAATTATTTTGCTGGGCATGCGCGCCGAGGGGTGCATTTCGATGTTGCGGCTCCAACGGGGTTGATTATTCCATTTATTGTGCGAGCCTGTCGTGTCGCTTTTGAGAGCTGAACGAGCAACCCTGTGAATAAATTATTGATAAAAAAAAGGAAATTACTAGTCGTTTTTCTCAATGTCGACATTAGCAACCTTGACATAGCGTTTAAGGGCCGGGTTCTTGATTTTCTTTTTAATTTCCTTTAGTTTGCTGCTGAGCATTCCATTCCTATATCATGCGCCGTTAAAAATTGGAGCGCAGTAAAAAGTTTGAAGGTTGATTGATTTAAAGTTGAGAAAATTTGGTTTTGAGCAAAAAATTATTAATATTATCATCATAATAAATAAAAAAATTATTATTTTAATTAAGGACTCATATTTTTGTGTTATAACAACTCTTGGTAAATTAATTATTCAGCAAACAAACAAAGTGAAGTCATTAGAAGTGTGGTTTATTTCCCCGCCACGAAAATAAATTTTGAGTAATCAATCATCAATCATGTTAAATGAGGTTTTCTTTGTGCGTGAAACGTTATTGTTTTTCATTTTCCTATATTATGTCGGAAGGCGAAGGCGAGACCAAACTTAAAAACATTAATGATAAAGTGAGAAGGAACGGTAACCGCAGGAAACCGCAGAGCCGTTGCGATGATAAGCTCTCAACCTCAGGATGAATAAATGTTTACTGAGAGTCGAGGAAACTTATAATAAAAGGCCTTCCCATATAGAGCACACGCTCATTTGATAAGCGACAGTGAATTTTGTGTATTAGGTGAGATAAGGTGCGTATTGCAGCTTGTTGAGATAAAGCGACTCACTCATTTCCAGCTGCTAAGATGGGGAGGACGGACCTTCTACTGATTGGCTTTTTACTATGTGTCTCGTCGGTCGTTGTAAACTCTCAACAAAATAGACAATGTGAGTGAAATTTCAATTGTTAACCCGCTTAAATAATATGCGTTTAATATAATTTCGGATTTTTTGGAAAACAACTTTATCATAAGCTTGAAAAAATAATCCACTGAATTTAATGTTTAAATAAAATTTGTTGAGGAAAAATGATTTTTTTTTGTCACTTATCAATTCAATTCGTTTATTCTCTCACAACAGGTCAAGTATTATTTTGGGGGAAAAAATTACATTGCTCACTGCAAATTATATTATGCATTTCCTTTCTCTTAATATTTATATTTTTTATTTTTTATTAACAAAGAGCAAAAACAGATAAAAAATTAGTTAAATAGAAAAAAAGTGAAAAATATTCAGCGCTTGAATTTTATACAGAATAATAAAAATAAAGTTAATATCAATTAAAAAAGCATTATTACAAAAATATATTTTCTCATATCCTTTATAATTTATAAATTATCACTCAGCCTTTGTTTACAGACTTGTAAATTTATTTTCAATCTGCGCTATTATCAAATTTCAGTTCGTCTGTGTGTTGAAAAACCAGAGTCAGCACCAGAATGCCAAAATTTAAACCGACCTGGCAGTGGAGTGAAATGTGTTCCAGTGCTGGACAGGTTCGTACCGCGCCCATTATACCCAACCAAGATAACGAATTTCTTAAACACACATGAGATTACCTCATGTTCTCTTTTCATGTAATGCTCACCAGAAAATTATTAAAATACAATTTAAAATTAAAGCACCGACTGCGCCCTGAGAATTCAAAATCGAACGGCGGACTTTGGGATGTTCAAGGCGGAAGAGGCGATTTTAGCGTCACACTTCCTGGAATCAGTCGCCGTCATTGGTGACATCAGGCATGAGGAACGTACGGAGGGTGAGTTCTATTTATTTGAGGAAAGCCATAAATACTAAATGACGCTTTAATTGAACTTTTAATGTGACTCATCAATAAAATAACCAATTAATTGCTACTTTTCAAATTTTTTTCGTTATGAAATTAAAATTTACTTTATTTTAACTCCCATTTTATTTTATATTTTTAGATGAATTTAGTTTTACCGCGGTTGCGATTGTTAACCGCGCGAAAGTGCCATCAAATGACCTGACGCTGACTTCCGGACTCTCTCTGTGTCACCCCGGAATGGGGCTGATGAAGTCTGGCTGGTCTGATATGGTGCTCAAAGAAATGGATCTGACCATCTTGGACAAAACTGGCAACTTAAGATGTGACGAATGGCGGTCGTCGGTGCGAAATGAGTATTTTTCCATCGCTAAACAGTGGGGCCCGTCGTGCAGGTAGGCCCGTCTTTATGATTTAATTTTAATTATTAAATAAATTTAATTATTCAGACCTGGTACTTGGTCCTGGGATCCAGTGGCGGATAAAGCTATGAAATTCGATTACAACAGTTTGTGTGAAAAGTGTCCAAACAAGGGAGACTGCGCCTATCAAAATTCAGACCAAAATAACTTGCATCAGGCTACGCTAAATTGCCTTAAAAACGGCGGAGACATTGCTTATGTGGCGCTGGATTACGCACGAAATTTCATTCAGGTAAAAATATGAAAAAAAATCACTTTAAAATTGAAACTGGCGAAACCTTTAAAAAAATTTCATTTAGATAAATAAAATAATAATTTTTTTCATCAAATTCTTTAAAAAAAATTAGTCAACTCCTGGTGGAAACCAAACTTACGCCTACGTTTGCAAAAACTTGACTCTGAGCTCCAGCCCGTACGGTTGCAATTTCGCCCAGCAACCTTGGACTTCAATCGTGGCTACAAAAGAAATTGCTCGTGAACTTTCACCAAAACTGCACGAGTGGCTGAAACCCCTGGAGCCGCGATTGGCCCTCCAGGAAGCACCTGAAAGAGCCGTTGGTGGCTGGCAAAGGGCTCTGATCGACCTGCTGCTCGAGGACTACCACCTCTACAACCCCATTAACAACATGGATCTGAAAACTTTCGTTGGCCGAGGTATTTTTCCTTTAAGTTAAAAAAAAAACAATCCGTTTCAATAGAAATAAAAATTTATTTATTCTCTTTTGCAAGTAAAATTCCGTCCAAATCAAGGAACATCGGAAAAATTTTCAATTGATTTAAAAAGTCCTATAGCTAAGGAACGAAAACAATTATATTCATTATTTCTAAAAACGCTAATTGGGAAAAAAAATCAATAAAGAAATTCAATATTCACGTTTTACTTTTTGTCTTGTTCAAAATTGATGCGTTTATTTAAAATTTATAAAACAGGGCGCCGATTGAAGGTGAAACAGGACGATAATGTTTGCGACCGAAAGGTGAATTGGTGCGTTGGCGAGGCCGAAGAACGCCCAAAATGCGGATGGCTCTCGGCTGCTGCCTGGTACGCTGGAGTCGTGCCCGAAATCAAGTGCGTGAACGGCCTGAGCGATCGCGACTGCGTTGAAAAGGTCGCGAAAAATGAGGCGGATCTCGTGGTTGCTGACATTGACCTCGCACATTATGGCAAAAGGTATGATTTTTAAGGTCGATTGCAGAAAATGCGAGACTCAACAGAAAAAGGCATTTTTACTTTTTTCATATAATTTGTCGCACAAGGTTCTAGCACATCAAGATAAGAGTATATTTTATGGATTGTGTTGATTACTAGTCGTGTTCGCGTGCTCATTTATTTGCCGCTGCACTTTAATAATTTGGGGGAAATGTTAACGAACTGGACAGAAAAATTGATTTCACGTGCTGTGCATATATGCTTTTTTAAATTTAATAAGAGGACTTGAGCATGTTTGTCAGTTTTCAATTTTTTTTTTCAAAATTAAATAAATTTATTCCATATTACAGTTTATTCATTTTGAAGATCGGGGGCAAAGCCCGTTTAATTCTATTTTTCTTTTTTTAAAGTAAAATATTTGTGCAGAGTAAAAAAATTGAAGTTTCTGAACGTATCCTCAAATACCAATTAATTTAATATATTAAAAAATAAACTTGTAACAAAATTATTGTTTACTTAAAACGTTTCGTGAAATTTAATTTAAATATATATTTTTTGGTTTAGTTAATTTTAAATTGGTACCTTAATACTGAATAAATTGATTTAATATTTTTAATTTAGCTTGAAAAAACTGAAACCCTTGATGTTTGTGGGCACGGCTGATGACCATTTGACCTCCGTTGTGGCCGTCGTCAAGGCAAACAGTGAAATTACTAGTTTTAAAGATTTGAAAGGCAAAAAGGCCTGCTTCCCATCTTACGAAGGAATTGGTTTGTGTTCAAATAAAAATACTTCACAAAAGTATTCCGACTTTCCTTTTACAGGTTACGGAACGTTTTTGAGGGAAGGTCTAAATCAGACATTGATTGAGCCGAAGAATTGTCCATACTCCGATTCCGTTTCTAAATTTTTCTCGCAATCGTGCATTCCCGGAGCTGCAGAACATAATAAAGATAAGCCAAGCTTGTGCGCGCTGTGTGAGGCTAAAGGACAGTATGCGTAAGAAATAATTATTACTTAGAAAAGGAAAAAAAATACTGACAAAAATAAACTAGTTGTTCTGCTGAACCAGGAAATTCGTTCGACAATGACGTCGGCGCCATCAAGTGTTTGCACAATTCAGGAGATGTGGCTTTTGTCCGACTGAATGAAATTCTGCTGGCCTTCCAGAAAAATTTGCTTGACCGAATGTTGCCGGCAGATTTCAAGTAAGCATTAAATTAATTATAAAAAACGTCAAGTGAAGTCCAAAAATTGATGGTAATCTTCATCCTACAATTAGTTTTAAATTATTGAACTTGAATCTTGAGTTAAATTAAAAATTTCGCAGTCGGTAGGACTCGAACCTACGCTCCCAGAGGGAATCTGATTTCTAGTCAGACGCCTTAACCACTCGGCCACGACTGCCCTGTTAATTTGCAAATCTCTTGTGGTCGAGCAGTGTCAGAAGAAATGGGTCGATAGCATTCTAATCTGCTTAACTCGACTCATCACTTTTTTAGCTTACGTCAGGTCATGCTTGTGACGTCACCGGTGCCTCTCACTGTTGAGTTTGCACAGACGTTTCCAGTTAAACGATTCAATCACAAGTGCAATTAAAATCATATTAATTTCCTGACAGCACTGCATGGTGTCAATTTGAAATATCCAATATTGAGTCAACATGGGATAATCAAAAATTCATATAAAGAAATTAATAAAAAAAAAACCAAACGGGAAATTCTGGCTGAATTTTCAAAATACAATAATTAACGCACGGAGAAAAATTTTTATTAGTAACATTAAAGTTTTGTTTCCAGCTGTTTTTCGATATCTGATTTTGAAATAGAATTCTTTTTGAACTAATTAATGGCTCTGACCTTTTTCATTTTCATCATCTACAGACGACATAATAATATTTTCCAATATCGTAAACTTAATTTCTGATAAATATTTAAGAAAATAATTTTAAATTAAAATAAAAATATGTCAATAGGGTTCTCTGCAAAAACGGTGGCCAACCAGATTCAACGCTGCCTCTTGGGCCGAACTCCATCAGGTGCTCTTTGACCACAGTTCCATCGCACGCTGTTCTGACAAGAGAAGGCGACGAAATTAACAAAGAACGCGACACGCACGTTGTTCTCAACTCATTGGACTCGATGTTTGGCTTGCTTGAAAGTAACATTCGGCCAGACCAACCCTTCTTCATGTACAACCCCTTCGCTGGCCATCGTGACCTCATTTTCCCGGTAAATTATTTCAAATTATGATTAAATTATAATTTATTTCTGCCATTAATCCAGGAATCATCAAGCGTTCTCTTGAGCTCAACAGACAAAGACAAAAACGTGAAAGAATTTTTAAAATTGATCAGAGACGTGCCACGACCATGTGGACTAGAGAGTTCTGCATTTATTCCGAAGCCGAAATTACTTTTTACTCTGCTCTTCGCCATCGCTAGTTTGTTTTTCAGTCGATATTAAAAATAGAAGAGAGTATATTTAATTAAAAAACTTTAATTCTCCTTACATTTGATTGACTGAAGGAAGAACTTGTGAAAATCCAAAAATAAAAAGTTAAAGTAGAAAAATCTTGCACGACTTTCACAATTTCCCTGCCCAAGTTATTTCCTGTGTTGCCGGACACTGCTTCCTGTTGTGCGTCGAGCTTTTCACCAAAGCGCCGCAGTTGTGCGGGAATTGAAAAGTTTCCAACGCTATGGCCCAAACTTTGATGTTCTTATTGATCAATTTAGTAGCTTTTCCATAATTTAAATATTTTATTTATAATAAATCATTCAAATATAGGCGTATTTATTTGTCTCTTTAAAGGCGCAAGTGACCAGAAGTGAGTGCAATTATTTAGCTCTAAATTTAAATATTGTCCCAATTTTGAAATAGATGGACTACTGGTGAATCGAAACTACAATGCGCAAGAGTTTTACTGCGTGGCGCAGTGTTTGGGTCTCGTCACGCCGACTAAACCGCCGAAAAAGTCAGCTAACTATATCATGGCAGCGAATTACATGCAGGCCCTTTCGACCACCACGCAAACACCAAAAGCGCAAAAAATAGTGATGGCACCGCAAGTGGTGTGGGGCAAAGCGAAATATGTCAAAGTTCCCTTTGTGGCAAGCAAACCCGACAATTGCTCGGCGCTGAATTTTGTCGTAAGAATTATATTTGCAAAATTATTTATTTTTGTAAGACACTAGAGGAAATAAGTCTTCTAAATCTTTTCACAAATAAAAACTCCCTCAATTTTTTGCACACTTGAAATTACTCTTCAAATGAAAATTGAGGCTAAAATTTTAGTTTTAGGGAAATAGAGACTTTTTGTACTAGTCTATTTATTTATTTGTGACATTTTCATTATTTTCAAAACCAATTTTATAGGGAATGGATGAGTGTTGCCGATCGACACCAAGGGATTTTATGTTTTCAAATGCTGAATTGGAATCATGCTCTGGATGGAAAAAGCGGGATATGATTCCGACTAAATACATTGAAAGCGTGAATGAATATGTTTTGAACCAAGTGCAAGGCGACTTTGAAGGTCCTGGAAATATAGACCTCTCTTTACCATCAACAAGTATTTTTTCCCAAATTTGTCATGTTTTTGATTATTTATTCACTTTTACAGAAATAAGATTTGGAAATGCTATAGTAAGAATATTTTTCTATGAAACAAATAAATGATAAATTTTTTAATTTTTTTTCATACAAGCAGTGCTTTGCTGAGTGTCTGCTCAAGAAAAAAGGACTGGTAAATTTTTACACAGTATTCAAAATTTATTTTTTAATTTTGGCCACAGAAAATTAATAGAGGAAAAGTTTTGAATTTTGATAAAGTGGCTGAAAGCGTGACTAAAAATGTTTCAAGCGAATGGAACAAAATTATTACTGATGCATTTACTGACTGCATCTCTGCAATTCCTGGTAAATTGCATAAAAATACGCATGAATATTTTTAATTATTATTACTTATAATATTATTTTTTTGTTAGTTGTTCATCCAAAAACAAGGGTTGATACCAAGCAGGGTGTGCTAAGCATAATTATTTTGATTGACAGAGATTAATAAAAATTTACAGACAAAAAGTTTGTGAGAGGAGGTTACAGGAAAGACACATGCTACACTCAGCCCTTTCTTCTTATTCAATGCGTCATGAAGTCGGTGCTTTTGGTAAAAAAGATAGCAAAATATTTCGCGCGTAATTAATTTTTCTTAACAAATTCTTTCAGAGCTGTCCCTCGCCAAATAAACCGTTAAAATGTACACTATTTCATTAACTATATTGAAAATATTTTTTGATTGTGATGCTTTCAGCTGCCTACTGTGACTTGAGTCGTGAAAATTTGCGCCATTGCGATCCATTCAAATATTAATTAGAGACTGTTAGAGACAATTAGAAAAAAAAACTTCAATTTTATTTATTAAACTGACGAGTGAATAATGTGTCAATAAAAAAGTAAAAATTTTCAACTTAATTTTTGATTTTTTTAACTTGAAAACACAAAAAATTTAAAATATAAATAAGTAATTTTTAATTTAGAGCTAAATTATTTCAAAATTCAATGTTCATTTTCATGGACTGTTTGCTCACTTATTACAATTTCAATAAAATGAATGATATTTTCAAGGAAACAATTTAAATACTGAATTAAAAAGTTCGCAGTCGGTAGGACTCGAACCTACGCTCCCAGAGGGAATCTGATTTCTAGTCAGACGCCTTAACCACTCGGCCACGACTGCTGCTTATGATGATTGGCATGCGCGGCCAAACAGACTCTAAAGAAGTGGATCGTTCATAGCGGCATTCATTTCGTATCATAACAACACATTATTTCATGAATCCACTGCAGTAAGCGCTTATTTTTTATACTTTATCTTTTCATGTTACCAAATCTATATAAGCAATATTTTTTTTCATTTCATTTATGTAGCGATTTCGTAAGTGAAAAAAAGAGAGGAAGATCTAAAATAATTAAAAAAATTAATTAGCCAAAAATAACCTTAGAACTACTCTTCTAGTAATTTTAGTCAATTATTATTAAATTTTGGTGTTTCTTCCTATTAGATAACACAATGCATTACATTTTTTTATTGGAAGGTATTAAATTTGAGCTATGCCATTGCAAATAGCCAAAGAAACAATTTTTTGTTTAACATTTCAATTATTTAATTAATTAACAAACTTTTTTTGTTAAAAGAATTTAGCATTTGACATTATCAACTGCATCGCAGGCTCTTGCAATCGGGTTGAACGCAAGACCAGTGGGGCAAGTTTCATTTACCTTATTGAAGATGCCCATGTTGGACTCACACCGGTAGTAAGAGAAGCAATCTTCCACGTCAGGGAAGAGACCTTCCTCGTTGCAGACAAACTGGCAGCCCTGAGCGCCATCGATGAACTCGGTGTTGCCCTTGCAAGAGTAAATTTCACTGCGGCCGGCGGACATGCAGAGCAAATAGTAGCGAGGGTCGTTCGGGTACGCCACTAGGCCGATGGTTCCACCACAAGCGGACTGAGAAGGAAAAAAAATACTGAAATTTAATTTTAATGATAATGCTCACAAAAATATTCATTTTCAATTAAACAATATCAGTTTTCAATTGTTCCAAAATCGGAATTTTTTTACGATTTTTGTGAAGGAAAAATTTAATTTCAAATATTCAAGGTAAAAAAAATCTATCATAATCTGTAAACTTTATAATAAAAAATTCTTCCAATCATACCTGCTCCTGACATTGTGATTCATTGCTGCACCTGAATTCCTGGCTGTTGTATAGTGGCTTTTGAAGGGAAGCGCATCTGAAAGTTGAAGATTTTAATTGTTTTTATTGAAAAATTTATAGGCGCATAATGAAGAATTACACAAATATTTTGGTTGTTTTCTTGTTATTTTCAAATATATGCCTCATAAATTTATTTTTCATATCATAATTGAATTTAAAGCTGAAAAGTGCTTTGCTTAAGATTTGTTTTGAACCTAAAATTTGGAGATATTTTGAACCCAAAATATATTGCATTAATTTTGAAATTGATAAAATGTTTTACAAACATCCAAGTTTCATTTTCATTTAAATTGAAAATAGTTAATTAAATCTAAAATATCAATTGTTTTTAACAATTGAATGGAAACTATGTAATGTTGCAATGTGGAAAAAAACAATAATTGTAACTGAACTTAAAATTCAACTAATATATAATAAAAATTCTGCACTTTGTTGCTTTTTTAGATGCTCCCTTTTGAATATTCTCTTGATTGGATATGGGATTTTTTTAAATCAATGAAATTTCAAAGAAAAATTTCAGTAAAAGCACTTTAAAATTAAAATAAAATGGAAAAATGTGCAACTTGCCCTTAAAATTTTAAGTTTCATGGCTCAAAATATAATAAACAATTAAAGATAATTAAGGAAAGCTTTTTACCACACCCTTTCCTTCCTCCTGCTGATGGCTGGCGGCCGCTGCTGCTCCATCCTCGAAGATGAGAGCGAACAAATCTGGACGCGGCGAGAGATGAAGAAAAATTAAAAAGCACTCGCTCGGTTTTATAGCGAGCGGTGCCAATTTAAAAGGTTTTATATGAAAAATTCATAATTATTTTCAGCATTGATAGCCAAAATATCAACAAAGCTTTTAATTATTTATTTTTGGAAAAATTTCTGTCGACATTGGCAATCATACAGAGGGATTATTTAATTGGCAACATTTTGCTATTGAAGTTAAAATTTACAAAAATTTTCTTGATTTTAGATAATCAACGGAACAAAATGCATTATAACTCCGCTACAAATAAAGATTTGTTTCATATATTAAAATTTAACGCTTTGTCGATTTATCGGCTAACACTGCTGAAAATATAAATTTTTCATTCAAGACTGTTTTTAATTGGCGCCGATCTCAATAAAACCGAGTGCTTATTAAGTTTCCTTCATAATCTCTCTCTAGTCCAAACTAGTTCGCTCTCATCTTCGAGGATGGAGCAGCAGCGGCCGCCAGGCGCCAGCCAGCAGAAGGAAAAAAGGGAAGAAAGAGAAAGAAATAGTGTGTTTGTGTTTCGCTGCTTCAAATGGCGAATGCGCATAGGAATATTTAAATAAAAATGAAATTATTGAGAGTCACTAAATGTATGTAATAGTCAAACCTGTAGGATTCGTATTCAACAGCATCATAGCAGATGTGGTAAACATTGCAGCCTTTGGTGTCGGGGAAGAATCCTGGCGACGTACAAACAAATCCAGGCACTTTGCAGCCCTCGGGGAGGAGGGAGGTGCACGTTCTCTGGTTCGCGTCGCAATAAGGAGCGGCATTCATCGTGGATACGGCGCAATCCTCATAGTTCGGGTTCTGGAATTCCTCGCCGACGAGCTGGCAATAGACCAGGTGGGTGCAGTTGGCACAGTGGACCGCCTGACCGTCGCACGCAGGGTCACTCACGTAAGGGTCGTACTGCCGAAGGACTTCCTGTTCGCACTCAGGATCCTGTACAAAGGTAAGATTTCAGCGTTAATTATCTTGGAAATATGAAAACTAACGAGATTCCAGTTAGATTTTTCCCCGATGAAATATTTTTTTTACCTCCGTCAAATCGACGCATTGATAATCGTACTTGCTGAACATCATTCCACTGGGGCATCGGTGCTCTTGTTTTTCAAAACCGAATTTCGTCGAACCGTGACATGTGTAGAATTTGGTGCAATCCGTCGAATGAGGAAAAACGCCGTCTTTTTTGCACACATCACCAAGAGCCAGGCATGTCTTGGAAAACATGAAAGAAAAAATTTGAAATTCTCGTAAATTTCCATGCAATTCAATTTAAACTTACGACCGAAAAAATGCCCAAAAGGAGAAAACCTTTGAGAGTCATTTTTAATACTTTTATGACAGCTTAATCTGAAGAATTGTTGATTAATACTGAAGTCTTTAAAGAAACTGGCCACATATAATAATATGCCGCCGATTGAAGTTTTATCAGTTCTTATTGTCTGCGGCTGAGATATGATTTTCTTCTTCTTCAATCTAATAATGATCTCGTCAATAAGGGACCACTAACAGTTTAAGTTTTTAATATATAAACTTTGATAATATAATATTTTATTCTGAAGAAATAAAATTTGTAAAATAAATTTTTAGCACTAATTATACCATACCCGAAAAGAAGTTTTGTTTTTAAATAATTTTCTTTTAGATTCTCCAGGTTAGATTGTTATATTTAAAAAAAACTTCTTTCTGTAATCCTGCCGTTTTATAAAAAAATTGTCAACTTCAGATTCAAGATGATAGTCTTGGAGTTCCCTTATGCGGAAAGAAGCAGTTTTTAATAAACCTTTCTTTATTCTATATAATCTTAAACATATTTTTTCCCAATTGATGATTGACGTCAAAAAAGCCTTATCAATAATTAAAATTGTGTGTTTGTCAGTTTGATCAAGCAAACAATTCCGGCTAAAATAATTGAACTGGTTTCGTCCGTACTTTTTATTTATTTAAAACAGTAACAAACAATTACAAAATCAATTATGATGGAATTGAAGTAAATATTAAAAATGTAAAATACTGCATTAAAAAATCTCTTTCAAACTTCCACTTTGAAGATGAGGACATCGGCCTGGTGCGGTGCTAACTTGACGCTTGCACTTTTTCTGAAAGTTAATTTTAATAATTAAATAAAATTATTAAGAGTTAATTTTTTTTTCACTTACACGGCAGTTGCATTCAATTCTTGCTTGGTGCTCAAGTAAATGCTCAAATCCTCAGGTATCTGCTCCAAATTTGTGAGATTAGCAGTGAGGCGTTCGTTGGATAAATTTACTGCCACCAATATTCCAGAATCTCCGTGTATTCTGTCAATAATTATTTATAATTTTTTCAAATAACAATTTTAAAATATTTTTTACGTACCTGGACATGGCAAATACTTTTCCCTCATTCAGAACTTCTGTTTGCAAACCGCCCTTTAAGAACGTCTCGCTCTGGCGCAACTTCACAAGGGCTCGGTAGATCTGCAAATGTGACGGTCTATCCTCTTGGTCCTCCACATTCACCCCGTTTAAGTAATTCTGATTCACTGGCAACCAAGTGGAAATGCTCTCGGAAAAACCTGGATTATAAAATTGAGAAAAAGCGCACTTTATGATTTTCCTTGAAATTTCGAGACCAGCATTCTTATTGATGTTCCACTGCATGGGACTCCTGGCAGGGTCTCTGGAGGCCTTGAGAAAATTGTCAATTCCCGCGTTTCGGCCAGCAGGGTCGACTGTCTGGTCCCAGGTCAGGTTGACGTCCTCCATGCCGATTTCTTCCCCGTAATAAGTAAATGCCACTCCGGGAAGGAGAAGAGTGACCATGTTTAAACTGTCAATGTAGTGAAGCCCGATTCTGGAGGCCACCCTTCCCTTGTCGTGGTTTCCGAGCTACGAAGATTTTACTCAATAGTTAAAAAATATAATCAAGTTTTAATGGAAGGACATAATTTTGGAGAAATATTTTTATCATATTTTAAACAGAAATTTAAATTTATATTCAACTTTTTTTACTCACGTGTAATGATGTTTGGTAAATATAAATGTTCAACGCAACGGGGAATGAACACAACAATGAAATTTTGTTTGCGTTGTTGTTAGCCAATCAGAATTTTATTTCCCATTTATGATTAGCAGACAACAATAGAAACTTGATTTTATTGTTGCATCGGGCCCCCCGTTGGTTCAGCGTTGAAATTTTAATTTTGAAATTAACAAAAATTTTCTATAAATTTTTAATTTGATTGTATTTATATCTTAATCATACCACCCAGTTAGGGCAAGCCCCTGCTGGTAATGCGTCCATCCAACGGTCGATCAGCTCTTTAAGGTGGGCTGCGGTGGGATTCCGGTCGAGTTCGCCAACAAACAGAAAGTTGAATGGGAAATCAACTAGTGGTTGGTCGTGCTCTCCGTAATACTTCATCGTGTTTTCTACGGAATCATAGACTTCTGCTAGCAGGAGCCTAAAAAGAACACAAATATTAATATATTTGTTAAATTAATTAATTTATCGTAATAAATACAATGGAAACAATAATTTGCTTATCATTAATAAACTTAAGTTTTTATTATTAAATAAATTTTATTTTAATGACTTGGCCCTCGACATTATGGTGGACTGGACTTCAATTTAAAAATAATAAAACATTAACTTTTTTTCATCAAATATATCAGGTCACTTATTTAAACTGTTATTTAAAATAATTTAATTTTTGGTCATGCGTTTCCTAATTTTGGAAGTTATTTATTAATTAATATTATGTTCACCTAATGTAAAAAAATCAATCTCGTCAATAATCAAGACAGGAGCATTAACATTTTTAAATTAAATTACAATTTTTAGCAGCAATAGAATTATACAAACAATCAAATTTTTAAATTTGATATTTGCCGCTCAATCTAGAAATATCTAGAAAGTTTCTGGGGTTCTTGCAGTTCTCTGCTGCATGCCCCTCCTATGCGCGCGCGGGCCACGTGACCACGCTCGGCCAATGGTAGCGCGGCAGGGGGTATAAAAGCGGGCGCTCCGCTGGCAAGAGCATCAGTCAGCAGCGAGCCAGCAGCTGGAGAGTAATATGGCTTTGGTGGCACCGATTTTGAGAGGCCGCCAGGTCGAATTGCTCCCCAGCGGCTCAAACTGCGACCCTCGCCTTTTCAGAGTAATATGGCCTTGGTGGCTTTGGTTGAGAACGAGCCATCAGGTTGGATTGCTCACAAAATGCGAGATGCCCCATCGAGCCTGCCGTGCTACCTAGTGGGAGACTTCTGGAAAGGGCTTGCTTTCTTTTAGATTGGCAAGTCATTTTTAGGAGTTATCCACTGGGCTGCTCATAACACACATGATAATCCTGGAAGAGCGGAAATCTACAAGATGGTTTTCACTCTATCAGGTTGAGGCAACGGAAATTAAAATCTAGTAGCAGACTTCTAACAAGGGCTTGCTGTTTCCATTACAAGCAAATTCTTGAGAGAGGTCTATTACTGGACTAGCAAAAATATTTATGAATAAATTAAATGGCATAAAAATTTAAAAAAAGTTCCCTTAATCCTAATAAATTAGCGAAAATTTCTTAATTTATGACATTCAAACATTCAAACGTCAATATTTCATCAACTCATGCTATAAAAATAAGATATACCTCATAAGCGATTTTTAAAACCAGTCTTAAATAATTAAAGACAAAAGATTCCTCATAGAAATTATAAATACAAAAATTATATGAAAGAAAAAAAATAGATTATCAGATTGAAAGAAAAAATAGTCATGTTTAAATCAATCGCTCGTTTCAACTTTGCATTAAGATTAAGATTGATAATAATTTGAAAACCGCGTACAGAAATATATTAATTTTAATTGTTGATATTCTTAGATTTTTCAATTCGGAATTAATCAATATGCTACTATTATTTAACCCCATATTTCATACTTCTTGATGACCCGATTAACATTATTTTTATAGAGATTAAGTAAAGTTTTGGGGCAGCCACTTCAGCTAAAGCTAGTGCGGAAGTGGTGTGTCCGGTAGGTCCGCGTTCGAAACGGGTATTTTTCTGGTCGGAGGGTACTTTTTACTATTATTTTAATAATTTAGACGTTTACATAATACAATAAATTTACTTCGTTAAAACTGATACATACTGATTGTGATTTTTTTTATTTCAAAGGTGTCTCTAGCATCTCTGCACTTAAAAAAGGCTAATTGTATGAAATATGAATGGGCTGAAATAAATAATTGTGATAAGTTGTTATTGCATTTCATACCGGCTCCGTGGGAAAAAAATGGCTGCAGCCCAAACCAGTTCGATTAATCTCTCACAACAGGTCTAAGATTTTGGAAAAAATTAAAAATCTCATTGAGGAGAGAATTTGAATTTAAAAAGGGAAAATGTAAAAAAAACATTCACATATTTTTTTAATGCAATTTTAAACTCGGGAACCGTTCAATATTTTTAACGCACGTGGCAAGGAAAAATCCCACTGATTGGCAGTTCGGAAAGAAAAGCTTATTCGACCGTGCTCACAATCAGTGCGCACTTTTGGAAGTATTAAGAGGTGCTCGCCGCCACTATTTCTCATCACTCGATCGGAGGTGATTCTCGCCTTTGCGTCCATATCAGTCTAGCCACTGATGCATTTTTTTTAAGCTTAAATTCATTTTCTTGAGCTGCTGCTGTACAGACAGCAACTCGTGTTCGGACACGTCAGAGATGTGCCGCCTGTACAGGGCTCTTTTTGCACTTTCTCGAATTTGTCCAGAGGAGTAGATAATAAGATGAAACAAGAAGTGCCTCAAAAACACGCCACGAAAAGACGATTTTTAATTAAAATACTATGAATCAACCCTTGATCGTTAAATTGTTCAACAAAATAAAGCTTTGACAGGGCGCAATAGTCACACTCAAGTGTGTGAAAAGTACTATTTGCGCTCCTGTCAGTGGTGGCATTCGGAGAAATATATTAGCGCTAATAACTAGGAAATTTAATTTAATTTGCCCCGCTTGATATATTTCTTGCACGAAACAAATTTTCCACAAATAGTAAAATTTTTCTTATATTTTCTGAAAGTGGCAGAATTTGTCAGAAAACAAAAGATAAGAACAAAATTCAAGTCAACCGAGGCTCACTGCGCGGCGGACGAGGGGTCTTTTTGATCTCGGAAGTTTTCGCAAAATTCTTGCTAGTGGTGGTGCCTTTTTTTCCAACAATTCCATTCTTTTCAAATAAATTATTTTCAACAATTGCATGTAAACAATGTGAAATTTGTAAAAATAAACAAGAACAATAATTTTCTTATAATTATGGTATTTACTTTTGCAATAAAAATTAGAAATGGAAAGTTATGCAATGAAAACAACAAAATATTTAAAATTTATCATCCTGAATAATTTGCTATTATGAACTTTCATAATAATTTATTAGGAAGGCATCTATCATTATTCTTACCGTCCTTTATCTATTACTTTTGTACGAAACATATTTTGCTTCGCACAAAAGTATTTATAATTAAAATCAACGTGAGAAATAAAATACATTTATATTTTCTCTAGTTAATTTGAATTTCAAGCTGATGAATTTATTATATTCATACAAGTTTAAAATAGCTCAGTAAATAATCCTCTTGTTATAAGAATTAAATGAAATAAATATATTGCAGCGTGTTCAATTATTTATCCAAAATTGCCAAATTTATTGACACAGGAATTGCGCGATGGTGTTTAATTTAATCACTTATGGAAACGTGGAAATCTTGCATGGAAACGTGCTAGCGCGCGCGGGCACGAGCTGGGCTCTTTTCACGTGATAAATTTGCGCGCGTTAAGTGACCACGTGACCGCGCTCAGCCAATGGTAGCGCGGCAGGGGGTATAAAAGCGGGCGCTCCGCTGGCAAGAGCATCAGTCAGCAGCGAGCCAGCAGCTGGAGAGTAATATGGCTTTGGTGGCGCCGATTTTGAGAGGCCGCCAGGTCGAATTGCTCCCCAGCGGCTCAAACTGCGACCCTTGCCTTTTCAGAGTAATATGGCCTTGGTGGCTTTGGTTCAGAACCAGCCATCAGGTTGGATTGCTCACAAAATGCGAGATGCCCCATCGAGCCCTTATGCTACCTAGTGGGCGACTTCTGGAAAGGGCTTGCTTTCTTTTGAATTGGCAAGTCTTTATCAGTGGTCACTTTCTGGGTTGTCAAAATGCAATGTTCAATGTAACATGAAAAAGAATTTATTAAATTATTTTTAATAAGAAAGAAAAAGAGTTGAATACAAATAAAATTATCAAGAAGTAATTTTTAAGAGGAAAAACAATAAAAATATTTATAAGAGGCACTTTGGGCCCAATATTATTATATTGCTTTTAATTAAACGAGAAATTTTAATTTTTCTGCTCCAATTTTTTAACAATAGAAGACCGTCGTGGGATTGCATGACGAGTTCGTACAGCGCTTTCTAATTGAATTTGCACATTTATACTGATCATATTTCATATTATCGATATCACTCGTTAAAAAATAAATAAGCAAAGGAATAAAAAATTTTTGGCCACCTTGAAAACTTTGAACTTTTTTTCTTTCCAAATTTATTTATTTTAAAAACCAAATCCAAGCTTAATTTTGAATTAATTGAAGAATAATTTTTAACAGTTAATGCCCTCCAAAGGCACTTTAAATGAGAAATTTTCTTAGTCGGTTATTTTTTAATAATTTAAGAGAGTCCATCGTGGGAACGCTATGGGAGTTCGTTATCGCGCCTTATAATTAAATTTACACATGGGAAATGAATATTTTTATCAAATTTTTATACTATTAAAAATAATCCAACGGAGAATAGGACACAATTATCAGATTAACTGCACGAAGATATAATAATTTTCTTTGCTAAAGTATTCAAACAATATCCGTATGTTTATAATGCACTTATTTATTATTCCCTGAGATTACAATACTTATTGTGCTATAATTAATTGGAATGAACGTCCTTCATTACACTAAAGGTAGGCCAAAGAAAAAGGACCCGTGTACCCCTACTTGGTTGCACCTACTTGACCTGCGATGCAGGCCTTTTTCGACCTTTCCAAGCTTTTCATCTCCCGACATCGGCGTTTAGCTACTTCTTTATTTTTTTGTTAGTGCCCAGTCAAGAGGGATTTTCCGTACTTATTGTTAAATATAAAAACCTAACCTGTTGAAGAGCCTTATACTTTAATTAAGATCGACACTTTCTTCATTATTAAATAGAGATTAAAAACTAATTTGAGATAAACTTCAACTTAACTGACAGACTATTGTAATGGCAATTTGTAATGTGGTGCGCGCCACAAATATGAAATCAAAGTCACTTCATTTTTGAATAGTCATTAATAAGTTCGCGACTTTTGAGATTAATATAATAATTAATAGAGATGCTCTATCACTTAATTGAATACAAGGCTAATAGAGAATATAAAGTAAATAAATAAAAAAAATTAATTATTATAGAATTGTATTGTCGGACACATTTTGTGTTCGATAAATTTCTATTAATATGATTAATCAAAAGAAAAGTTTTGTAATGTAATAGAATTCTAAAAATTTCAAAAATCATAAAAATATAATTATGGCCTGTTATTCCACTGGAACCTTGCTCCACGAGGGGTGGGGAATTTTTAGCGGCGACACTCGGAAGGCACTCGCACATTCTGGATGCTGTCGGCAGAAGGGTTTCTTGTTCCAAATTCATTTGTTTTAAATGTAATTGAAAATACCCTATACGGATATTCTTCCCTGATTCTTGATTGCGTACTAAAAAAATTTTGGTTCATAATAAAAATAATACAATGATTTTAATTATGCAAAAATAAAATAACCGCTTAAATTTTAAACTTATTTGATTGAAGAGCAATTTTCTGAAAATTTGCAAATAAATTGATCTATTAAGTTATATACTGCTCATATCATCCCCTCGACATAAAAATAAGAAATAGTTCTGTAAAGATCCTGTCAAAATTGTAACCAACAAAGAGATTGATCAGCTTTGAAAACATTAGAAATTTAAACTTTAAATGGAAAAAAAATTATTTACCGGATTAACACGGATTTAAAATTTTATTCACGCTTGCTAAGTGTTGATATGGTAAGAAAATTCAAAATAATTTAAAATGCGTTGCGCCTTTAAATCGGGAAAATAATTGTAACATTATATTTAGCACGCATTCTAATATTATGTAATTTTGTATTATTCGAATGCAGCATTGAGTTTCGATTTCGACTGATGTATTTTTTTTTTGCCGGAGCTGTTTTGCTTGAAGTGAGACTTTTAATATCGCACTCATTTCAAATAATTCATTTAATATTTCTTTGTTTTATTCCCTAATATTAAAATTGCGGCCCATCTCGGCGCGGACCTCTTTTGCGGCCCATTTCGGCGCGAACCTCTTATGAGGCTCCGCGTTTTAGCAACCCGTTTGCCAGAGGTGTTGCTGATTTTTACATTATCAAATTTTCTTTTTAGACTTGATTCGTGAAGAATAAACAATAATAATTCCTGCATTAACATGGCTAAATATTTCTTACTACCTTTCAGATAATTGCATTATTAAGAATTTTTTTTTACGTATCAGGACATTCTAGATAGATTATATCTGAACTATTTGAAACTCTCTGATATCATTTTTGCATAAGAAAAGTATTTAATTTATTTTAATTTTTTAACATGAATTTCATTTGTAAAAATACAAATTTATAAAATATAATTCGGAAACTCCTCATATTGAATAATGATTTGAAAATAATATTATTAAATAGTTAAACTAATACCTGAAAACTATTAAAAATCATTTTCATTGAAATAATTTGACATTTGATGATTTATTTGTAACACAAATTGCCAATTATCTAATATAAGTATTATAAAAGCAATACCATTATTAAAATAACGATCGCTTTCCTTGATTAACGGTGTTATGGATTGCGCGCGCTATGCTGTTGCCCTGCCCTCCCTTCAAATTATCAACGTGCTCTAGAGCGCAAACCACGTGACCGCGCTCGGCCAATGGTAGCGCGGCAGGGGGTATAAAAGCGGGCGCTCCGCTGGCAAGAGCATCAGTCAGCAGCGAGCCAGCAGCTGGAGAGTAATATGGCTTTGGTGGCGCCGATTTTGAGAGGCCGCCAGGTCGAATTGCTCCCCAGCGGCTCAAACTGCGACCCTCGCCTTTTCAGAGTAATATGGCCTTGGTGGCTTTGGTTCAGAACCAGCCATCAGGTTGGATTGCTCACAAAATGCGAGATGCCCCATCGAGCCTGCCGTGCTACCTAGTGGGAGACTTCTGGAACGGGCTTGCTTTCTTTTAGATTGGCAAGTCTTTATCAGTGGTCACTTACTGGGATGTAAAATTCAAATTGAATTAAAAAAAAAAACCAATCAAGTTCAAATAAAATTTAGAGAGAAACGGATCAGATATTTAATGTAAATAATTTAAATATTGCTCCTGGCATATATTTCAAAGCTTTTTCCGTAATCTTGGTTTTTAATAGTTAAAACAAAATTTATTTAACTTTACCTTGGAATTTTATCCGTCTTCTCTGCATACGCATCCATAACTTTCCGAAACTCGTGCATGATCTCAAAAACTTCTGGAAGGCCATGTGTGTAAATGTGGTCCAAGAAGTCGTATTCGCCCTCTTGAGCGTCCTCCTTTTCTGATCGCGGCTCATCCCTTAATTCTTGATCCTCGAATAAATGCGGCACAGCATCAATTCTGAATCCATCGACGCCCATTTGTAGCCAAAATCTCAAAACTTGCTGAATTTTAATTTAATTCTGAATCAATCTCTAAGCCAGCAAAATGTTAAATACTAAACCTTCATTTCGTGAACCACTCTCGGATTCCTGAAGTTCAAATCAGGCTGCTCCTTTGCAAACTGATGCAAGTAAAACTCCTTCCGCTCCGGACTGTATTCCCAAGCCGACCCACCAAATACGCTCACCTTTTTGATTTAAAAAAATCAGGTAATAAATTTCACTTTCATTTTAAATTCCTTATAAATATAATATATTTACAGCATCATATTTGCTCAATCAGATTTTTGTAGTATATTTTTTCTTACCCAATTATTTGGTGGCTCTGGAATGACACCCTCTTTGTTCAGTTGGGTTGCGTTCTTCGGCTTGGCCCACACATAGTAATCTGCATAGGGCTCCTCTTTTTTAACTGATTTGATGAACCATTCATGCTGGTCACTCGAATGACTGGGAACCAGATCCAGAATTAGTTTGAGCCCTTGAAATATTATTTTTTTGTTATTAATTAATAAATGACTTAATTTAATTTACCTAAAAAGTGCATTTCATCAATCAATGCCTTCATGTCCTTGAGGTTTCCAAATAAAGGGTCGACGTCCTTGTAGTCCGAGATGTCATAACCAAAGTCTTTCATCGGTGACTTGAAAACCGGCGAGAGCCAAACAGCATTCACGCCAAGGCTGGCGATGTATTGCAGCTTTGAGCGAATTCCTTGAAAAAATTTTAATTTCAAGTCATTTAAGGTTTCAGTAGAAATTGGGTCAAGATTTTTAAATAATTGCGACGAGCTGTTAAAATCATTATCGCCAATTTCATTGGAAATTGCGCGTACTCCAATTAAATATTTTTATACATAGTATATCAAATATCATTCATATCTCGTAGAACTTGAACCTGAACTTGAACTTTCATCCACACGCACGCTTGTAAAAATGATATTATGAGACATCTCTATTCTATCTGCAGTGACTCATAGAGAATTAAAATACTAAAATCAATAATGAGTAAGGCAGGGGACAAAGTAAGAGAATGATTAAATTGCATATTTGTTTCTTAAATAATTTTCCTTTGAGACATTATGTTATCCACACTATAGTTGCGCAATAATCGAGAGTCTGTTTGATTTTTTAATATTTATTTTATTCCGTAAATAAGATCGAGTTGGGCTGATATTTGTTGAAAAACAAAAACAGCCGGTTTCAGAACCAAACGCATCACACTCTTAATAATATATTTCCCTCAAAGCAGCTTATGCAATTCATGACCCTTTTCCCTGGAAAATGCTTCAGTCTTCCTTCCTTTAATTACTGCGGTGGATGGTGCTTTTTGATTTGGAAGTTACAAAAAAATTCTTATTTCTAGATTTGATGCCATTTTCCCTACAATTGAATTTATCCTTCACAACAATTTTTTTATAACAAATGTGTGAAAATAAGCAGTATTAAAAGTAAACTACATTTATATAATTGCTTTAAATTAAAGACATTAAACTTTTAATTAATCTTTTGACTCTATCAAAAACAATTAAGCCTAGGAAAAAATGTTTAAATTAATTTCTTATTTGTTGCTTTTTGCATTATTCCGCTCTAAAATGAAATAATAATTGATGGATTAATATCTCGTTTTTACCTGATTCGTCATAGTTTCGGCGTAAAATTCTTGCTTTGCAATTTGGTTCAAAAGTAAAACTGCCCGGACACTTAGGCGAGGCGACGGCTATCGCGACGGCGCCGAAAAGCAAAGAGAACCAAAGCAGCACCGCGGCCGAAAAGAAAATTCGCCTGGTTCGCACCCAGAAAGGGTCGTGCTCCAGTTGCAAAATTTGCTCCAACGTGAGGGGACTTTGGGGGCAACGCCGGCAGGGCAGAAGGGGTTCCTCCTCGGAAGACATGGTGGAAGGCACTGCGGATTTGACCAAACAGTGCAACGGGAGCGGAAGCCTCCTTTTATATAACCCCCTGCCAGAGTGCACTCTCGCGGCGTGTTTGCTCCCGAGCCGGTTTCAAGGGAATCAATCTGCACTGACCTAGCACAAGTCTGGCTTGCGGCGGGTCAAAGTTCATCCATAAGCAGGGCCACGAATTTAAATATCTTTATAAAATTAAGTGAAAGATACAATTTTCTTCAAAATTATTCATTAGTTGTTTTTGTTCAACAATGTTGTTGTTCACTCTTCGGGTGGATAAATAAGCAACAATCAACTTTTAAACTAATAATGATTTTTTTATTATTCAATTGTTGCTCATTTTTGCGCTAACAAAAGAAGTTAAGAACTCCTTATTGACGTAGTCAAATCAGGTCTTTACAACAATGGTGATTAAAATTTTCAATTGTCTTTCAACAATCGCAAAAATCTTTTTATTGTTGTAAGGACTTGATTTGACTATGTCAATAAGAAAACCTTAAAAAAAATTAGTTGCAAAGTGTCTTTATTGATTGTATCAGAAGGCAAATTATTTTAATGGGTCAAAATTGGGCAATTAAGACCTGCTTTTCTTATTGCCATAATTTTCCTAAAATGTTTTTAAGCATGATTATATGCAATTGAGAGCAAAATTGATCTGGCAATTTTTTTTAGCAGTAAATTTATTAAAACGACAATACAAAATTATTGCAACGAATCATATTTTTTTTTAGATTTCTCATGATATCAAATTGTTTAATGCTATTTTATTTAATTATATGTTTTTATCACAGATAATAAAATTAATTTTGTTGATTTTAAATTAACCCCTTTTTTCTCTTTTTTTACAGGTAGGAGAAACAAACTGCTCTGTCTGATCGCGAGTTTTCAATATTGATTTGCAAGTAAATTTAAGCGATTTTCTCTTAAACCAAATTTAATATGCTACGCATTTATTTTTTAAGCGGTTTAGTTTTTTTAAGTAGCACAAACTTTATTTTAAATATCGCAAAAAGTGGTTCAATGCTATTCAAATATAATGGAAAATAACCATGAAATTGAAGAGCCGCTTGACCCTTGCCTTCTCGCCCGTCACTTTTAATGACCCTCTCAAATTAACGCGCACATCAAACGTGGTACACACTACTTATTTGTTTGCATTACATGAGCTTTGTTGCATTTAACACGGGATTAACAAGTCTGCACTTCAAAAGTGCAATGCACTCTGTGTCAAAATCAATTACCTCTATTGTGGATTTCAGTCGGTATATCTAGAAGAAGTTTAATAATTTTAATTTTACGAAATAAGTATAATACTAAGAACAAGAAGGTATTTTTCAAGATTAAATTTAATTTGGTCGTTAACTGTTAGTGATAAAAAAAACACACATTTTACTACGATTTTTCTCTTGAACAACTCAAAATGTTCAGGAAATAATATATCACCAAAATTTGAACATTTCCGTTTTTTAATTTCAAGAAATATTTATTGCGTTTGAAATGAGGGCAACATACATGAACTCATCCAAGAAGCAATGAATGAAAAGATTTTTTCCCCTAATTTTCATTTATTATAAGTTAGGTGATTTGCTCATTTACAAATTCAATTAATTAATTAATTTTAAAGTCATCTCTTTATAAAAAAAAATGCTAATTAAAAAGTACTATACGTTATTTCTCAGTTTTCCAAATCATTGTCATAACAATTCAGAACAACTCGTTTTTTTTTTTAATTTAAAAATTTGAATGTCACATTTTATTATTTTTCCAATTTATGTAATTTTATTTTTGATTACTGAAGTGACAGTTCAATGTTATTTTTTTTTCGTTTTGTCCTCACCATTGATATCTCCAATGCCGTTTGCCGTCGTGTCTTTGAAAGAGCGCGGGTAAATTTGATAGATGACCGCGGAGCGCCACCAGTGCGCACCGCTGTTGACGGCCAAGAGGTCGCCGCGGGGTCGGCGGGCCTCGGCTTCGTGGGGCTCCGAGCGCACCGGCCGCTTCTTGTCAGGCGCACTGCCCGAGGCCGCCTCGTTCGCCCTCTTCAGCTTTCGGCTGCGCAAATCCATTTTGTCCATTTCGGACGCTGATTGACATGCAAAGGAAGGACGAGGGACGAAGCTAGAATTTTCAGCTGCGGACTGACTGAGTGCGCTACCGCGAGTGAGACTGGCGAACGAATTCGTGCCGAGCTCGGGCAGCGCGAATATCAATTTCAGCCACACTTGGCTGCCGCGCAATAATGGAGAACCAAAGAGCGGAAAAGCAGGCAGAGGCGCTTTTAGAACGAAAAAAGCGACTCGGGTTTCAGCAGGTTTAGAATTCAAGTGGCAATGATATTTATGTTCTTGACACATGTTTCATTGTGTAGAAAGAGTTAGGTCGACCCGGCTCTCGTTTCTTTCTGCCACGCAAGATATTTTTATTTTTGAATGAAAAATTATCTGGACAAAATATTAAATAGGGGCCTCTGCCAGTCTCTGCTAAAAACGGCCCGATTAAAATTTGATGATGATTTATCTCTACATTAGCATTATAATAGATGCCATATTCAAAGAGGCATCATAAAAATTTAATTATTCGAGTAATATATAATAATTGCTTCATATATCAAAGAATTTTATAAAATAATATTTCTCCTCACACAATTGCCCTACTATATTTTTAAATTTTCAAGCAACCAAATAAACAAGTACTTATTTCCTGAAAACTTATACTTATGGGAATCAGTTCAGTTCATATTTTCTCTTGCAATCACTGTACATACAAAAACTCCTTGTTAAATTCCTTTTTTTTTAATACTATTGAATTTTTTTTACTTCATACATTTTATATTTTACTTTCTGAGAGTACAATTTTTGCACGCATTTCGTTTTCTAATCAAATAAAAAATACAAATCAACATTCACATTTGAGTAATTTTTCGATTCCTTAATGATTTTCATTAGACGAGAGCGTCGTAGGTGAGCACTAAAGCTCCACGGGCGGGAATGGCGAGGCTGACGGTGGAAACTTCCTCACTGGGAATTGAAAAAGTGTCACAATTTTTTAAATCATATATGAATTAGCTTCAAATCATTACTTTTCTGCGTAAACGGCCTCCAAACTGCCAGTGTAGAAATTAGCGATGACTGGCAGGTCGTTATTGGGGTTCGCGTTCACAACCTGATCCTCAAAACCGAGATTAACAACCACCAAAACACTGGGGTTGCCGGCTGGAACCGCCCTGTGTGGCATTATTAAAATATAGTTATATCAAAATTTATTAAACATAACATTTAAAAATATTGTTAAATTATAAGTATTGATTTACATTAAAATTTTATATATTTTCCGAAAAAATTTCACATTTCTGTGAATTTTAACACTGAAGAGAGTGAAAAAAATCTAGTAAAGACCTGAAAATTTCAATTACGTTTAACCAAATGACAAAAAATTATCCGGAATCCATTTTCAAAATGAATTATGAGATAAGTCAATTAAACATAGATTTTAATTTTTTATTATTTAAATAACTCACCTAGCAAAGGAGAAAATGTGCGTGTCCAAAACGTAGGTTCTCAACTCTCCGGTCTGAACCGCGATAATATTCTTCCTGGCTTCGGTCAGTCTCTTGTACACCTTGTAAGGGCTTTTCGCCGCCACCTTCTGGGCCTCCAGGTTCAGAGTGACGTAGTTTTCGTTGATGGGCAGCCAGGTCGTGCTGCCTGTGGTGAATCCGGCCATCGCTTCGGCGCTCCACTGGAAGGGCGTTCGCTCAGGGTCTCTGGAGAACCGCCAGTATTCATCAGGACCGGCCTGGCAGCCCTGAGGGTCGACTGTGTCCGCCCAGGAGATCCAAGTGTTTTCCATATTCAGTTCTTCGCCGTTGTAGGTGACGGCGGTGCCGGGGAGGAGCTGGCCTAGAATGATGGACGTAAGGCCAAATTGGGTTCCAAAACGGCCAGCCACGCGAGGCTGATCGTGATTTCCAACCTGAAACAATCAAAAGTTGTTATTTCTTAAAAAGACTTAATTATATCTGCACTGAATTTTTATATGCCATAAGAAAATAAATCAGCAGAGTAAACAAACAATTTTCAAGAAATTTCCAGTAATAATTAATGAAGCGTGGCCCTTTTCAGGGCCACCCTTGAAATAAACACTTTTGTTATAATTAAATTGTAATATTAAAATAAATTCATTTCAAAATAGTTAAATCCAATAATAGTTGATAACAATATTTATTTTTTTTTTAAATTATCAATGCCTGAAATTGAACCCTTTTGGGAGCCAACCCAGGCATTTTCATTTGTGTTGAAGATTTAAATGATTTAGAAATAGTTATTTATATGAACTATACATTTTTTTAAACGATAACTTACAACCCAGTTTGACCAAGCACCGCTCGGCAAGTTAGAAAACCAGGTGTTGATGATTGACTGCAGACCTGCAGCGTCAGTCTCGTTCTTCAGGTTGTCAATCAGCTGGAAGTTGAATGGGAAATGGGCACCAGGGTGGGTGCCGTTGCCGTAGTACTTCATGGTGTTGGTAATGTTGGTGTACGCCTCGACCAACATCACTCTGAAATTTTGAACACGGGAATATTTATATTTTTTTTTTGGCTTAAATCTCATTTTATTTTTAGATCACTTTCTATTACGTAACAAATTTCGCTTTCTTTGATGGGTGTTAAGGAAATCTTATCTTTTACTGATTGGCAAAGCATACAACTGATTTTAAGTTGATTTTTGCCACATGTTATTTATTATCAGGGCAAACAAGATAAGCTTAATGTCTTGGCTCTTTCTTTCAAAGTCCCCCACCTCTGTTAAATACAAATAGACAACAAAATAAGATAATAGAAATATATAACGGATATAACATAACAAATCGTTTGATCGATGATTTTTCTATTCCGACTTTAATTATCAAAATTGGTTGCGCCGATTTTCCAACAAAATCCAGAAAGGATTACTCCGCTTTTCAATTATAAAATATTTATTGATAAAATTATTCTAAATTGTCTGTTAAGCTTCAAATTATAGTCTTAGTATCATAAATATTTTACTTCACTAAATTGTTTTATATTTTTTCAATTAAAAACAAAACCATAAATAATTTTTTGATAATACTCACAATGGTCTTCCCAGCTCTCCCTGTTTCTGATCGACAATATCTCTGAATCCATAAATGATGTCGTACAATTCAGGCTGGTCCTTGGTATAAATGTGCTCCAAGGAGCCCCACTGGTCAGGCCCATAATTAGGGTCATTGGTGGGAGGTTCGTCGGGGAGGCCTGGCTCCTCCATCAAGTGAGGGACGGCGTCAAGTCTGAATCCATCGGCGCCCTTGTCCAGCCAGAAACGCAGGACGTCCTTTATTAGAATGGAAATTTAACTTTAAATATATATTTTTTAAATTATTTAATTATTTTACATTCATTTCCTCAAGAACAAGAGGGTTGCGGTAATTCAAATCGGGCTGGCCTGCGTGAAACTGGTGCAGGTAGAATTGCTGCCTCTCTTCAACCCATTCCCAAGCAGGGCCTCCAAAAACACTGATCTGCAAAATGTTTACATTTTAGTCTTCAACTGTTGATAAGAAAAAAAAGTGCACAAAATTTAAAAAAAATGTCAAATATCTTCCAAAAATAAAATTAAAATCGCAAAAAATCTTCTTTTAGATAAAAATTAAATTTATATTAAACAAATTTCTAACCCAGTTGTTAGGAGCAATTGGTGCGCCTGTGGCGTTGTAACCTGCGGGGTCGACCCAGGTATAGTAATCTGTGTAGGGATCTTCGCGCGCCTTTGATCTGATGAACCAGTCGTGCTCGTCGCTCGAGTGGTTGGGCACGAAGTCCAAAATCAGTTTTAGTCCTGCATGTGATGGCAATTAACTCGGTATTACAATAAAAGCAAAAATTTAAAACAAGAAATTAACCTCTATTCCTGCAGCCAACGACAAGGGCGTCAAAGTCGGCCATGGTGCCGAAAATCGGGTCAATCTCTCTGAAGTTGGAAACGTCATAGCCGAAATCCTTCATTGGCGATTTGAAAACTGGCGAGAGCCAAACACCGCCAATGCCAATGTCGACGAAGTGGTCCAATTTCTCAATAATGCCTGTTATTGAACAATTATATTTTGTTTAACAAAAAAATAAAATCACATCAGTTCAAAACTTCCAAAAAGTAAGATTATAAATTACTTAATTTATTAGAGACATAAATCTTCACTTTAATACAATTTCGTCTTAATTTTTAATTCTGAAGCAAATATTTATCATTTTTTAAAAATTAAGTTTTAGACTTCCTTGGAAGTTTTAAAATTTTTCACAATAGATAAAAAGTATAAAACAGCTTTCTAACAAAATTATTAACCTGGAATATCTCCAATTCCATCAAAGCCACCGTCTTTGAAAGATCTTGGGTAGACCTGGTAGAAGGTGGACGTCTGCCACCATTCGAGTTGAGCGCTGCCCAGAGCCGTCAGGCCCAAGAGAAGAACCGCCGTGATCTTCATGATGCCCGAATGTTACTGCGGTGCTGGCGGTGCGACCACTTTATATTTCCGCGACCTTCGTATCGATAAAAATACGGCGTGAGCAAGGAAGATAATTATCTATTGTCACCGGGTCGTTACTTAACGCGTTAATCTTGTTTTCTGCTTCGCTGAATTATATAATTTTATCTCTTAAACGCATCTCTCGATTGGTGCGCTGCTCCCGTCATTACCAAAGATGATTTGCAAAAAAGAAAACATTACTTGGTGAACATCAGTCGACTTTTTTAAAGTGGACCAGCGATTAAATCTTGCAACTGCATTGCCAGCCACGCTTACATCACGTGAACGGGAATTACATTACTTTAGGTTGATCATTCTCATATAATTGGATCAATCTGATTGTTTTTGCAAGGTTTAAAAATTAATGATATTTTACTTAAAAAAATATAATATTAAATAATTTATTTGCAATGAAAATTAAATTATTTAGAATATAAATGATTATTTATTATTGCACACAAAAGACGAAATAATAACTTCTCAACCTAGTAATTAAATTATTTTATTGAAGGGCAAGTAGTGCAACTGTTAAAATAACAAAATGCATTGTGGAGAATTGTATTATTTATTTATTTAATTTTAAAATTAAATCTGTTGCAGATTAAAAATAAAGAATCCAATTTTTTTTTATAAATAATTTGATTACGCGTTCAGTTTCTTGGATTTTAATTTTAGATACAATACATGTGAAATCATATCATTTCAAATCTTTAAGTGACATTTTGTTTTATTTGCTAAACCTTCAATTGATAAAATGAAAAAAAATATGCAAAAAAGCATTCTTTTGAATCCACCGATATCACATGAATTATTGCATATGTGTGTCAATTAATAAAGATAAAGTTCTGTTATTTTGTGAAGAAGCTTTTTTTGCTAACTTTATCAATGTTTTTTATTTGTAATTTATCTACAAAACTTTCATCAGATATTTTATATAAAACTCAAACAAAATCATAAATTAATGAGAGCAAGGAATGCAGACAACAACGACAAACAAGAAGCTGCAACGGAGGTAGCACTACTGGTGACTATGTAACGGAAGACCAAAGCGCCTCTTGCAGGAATTGTCACTGACGATGGATCAATCTGTTGGCTGAAGTTGGGAAAAATAAACATAATTAAAAACCTAAAAGTATGAAAAAAAATACAAACAAGAAGTAGTAAAATATATTAGAAAAGTATGCAACCGGCTATGCATGTGCTTAGCAAGTGTTAGATTTGATATTAAATTTCCTCACTAGTAAATGTAATTTGATTCCAAAGTGCCCGTTTCGTAAAACAATTTTGTTCCTTCTTGTAATAAGGTGACGGAACTAGTCACGTCTGCGGTGACCTCTGCGTAATCAAAATTCACCACCACAAAGAGACCCCAACCAAGCACGTCGTCTGCAAGAACTCTGAAATGAAGTAAGATATAAATTATTTTCTGAATGATCCGAGTCTTATTTTTTTATTACCTGGTGAATGCAAAAATATTATCACCCACAGTGCTGGTCGTCAAGTTTCCTCGCTGAACAGCTGCTATTTCTGTTCTCAGGTCAATTAACTTTTCATAAATCCAATATGGTTGTTTTGGCCCTTCATACAACTGATGGCGCACATTGATCTCCTTGTAATTTTCATTTACTGGGAGCCACGGTTTGTTAGAGTCGGAAGTGGTGAAACCTTTTGTTATTAAATAAAATAAGAAATTATTAATTTAATAATTATTTGCCAGAAACCAGCGTAAGTTGAATTGTCCCAGTGGAAAGGTGTTCTCTCAGGGTCCCTGGAAAACCTCTGGTAGTTCTCAGGTCCAGCCTGACACGCTGGAGGGTCGACTGTGTCCCTCCACGAAATCCACGTGTCCTCCATGTTGATCTCCTCACCATTGTAGGTGATGGCAGTTCCGGGCAACAATTGGCCCATAATCACGGCGGCCAAGCCAAACTCCCGGCCAAGTCGAGAGGCCACTCTTGATGTGTCATGGTTCCCAATCTGAATTTCAGTTAAAAAAATTTATTATTTAAAAAATATTAATTGTTCTTACCACCCAGTTAGACCAGGCTCCGTCGGGCAAATTGTTTTGCCAATTGTCAATGATTTGCTTCAGTTCAGCTGCCGTCGTTTCATTATTAAATTTTGTGATTAATTCAAAGTTGAATGGGAAATGAGCTCCTTTTCTGTCACCACTTCCGTAGTACTTCATTGTGTTTTCCAAACTGGTGTACGCTTCCACCATCATGACCCTAAAGAACGGGAGTTTCAGTCTCGGAGACTTCAACGATTGCACTTCCCAAATTCTTACATTTGTCTTCCGAGCTCAGCCTGCTTCTGATCGACGACGTCTCTGAATCCGTAAATCACGTCGTAAAGTTCCGGCAAATCGGTGGTGTAAATGTGCGAAAGGTAGCCCCACTGATCAGACGTGAACTCGGGGTCATTTGACAGCGGCTCGTCAGGGAAGCTTTGGTCTTCCATCAAGTGCGGAGTGGCGTCTAACCGGAAGCCATCGGCGCCTTTGTCCATCCAAAAGCGGAGAATGTCCTGGAAAATTTGTTTTTCAAATCAAATAAATTTCTCCCACAAATATAATTAAATGAAAAAACAAATAAATAAAATATATCTATTCAATAAATTTATTCTGAATAAGTTTATTTTCTGTAAAAAAATTAACACATTTAATTTTTATAGATATCAGAAAGCTTTCATTTTTGTTCCAACTTCTTAACCAGAATATTCAATTCTTGGTTAAATATCAACAGTATTTTATATTAATTATACATGTACGAAAATAATCAAAATAATATCATATTTCACACGGTAAAATTATTGTTGAAGTTCTAAAAATTATAAATTGTATGTACGTAAAACAAATTAATAAGTGTAAATAAAAAAATTAAATAATAATAGATTTTATATTAAAATTTTTAATACAGAAGTATATTTTATTAAACAAATAAAATGTTATTCTACTTAAATAATAAAATAATTGTAATTTTATTATATTTTTTTTTGCTTACGTTCATTTCTTCAATTACTGCTGGATTTCTGTAATTAAGGTCAGGCTGTCCGACCGTGAATTGATGCAGGTAGAATTGCTGTCGCTGTTCATTGAACTCCCAAGCGGAGCCTCCGAAAACGCTTAGCTGCAACGAAAATCAAATGAGTGTAATTTTCTTTAAATTGAAAAAAAAAATGAATATCATGTACCCAATTGTTTGGTGGAATGGGACTTCCACTTTCGTTAAAGCCTTTAGGATCAAGCCACGTGTAGTAATTAGTGTAAGGCTCTTCTCTAGCCACAGACTTAATGAACCACTCGTGTTCATCGCTCGAGTGGTTCGGGACAAAGTCAAGCACTAATTTTAAACCTTAAACAAAGTGGTGAAAATATTAACTAGTTAATAAAATATTTAGTTACCTCTTTTTCTGCAATCCTCAACAAGTGCGTCAAAATCGGCCATTGTGCCGAAAATTGGATCAATGTCCCTGAAGTCGGAAATATCATAGCCAAAATCTTTCATAGGTGATTTGAAAATCGGTGACAGCCACACGGCGCCAATGCCGAGCACGTCAGGGTGGTATATTTGTTGCAAAATTCCTGCGAAACCAAATTAAAATTTTGAAAGCAAGATTTATAAAAAAATTATGCTTGTCTTTTAAATTAATTTATCATATTCGCCTTCTTCAATATTTTTTAAATCATTGCAAATCCCTCACCTCTCAGATCACCAATACCATCAGCATTTGTATCCTTAAACGATCTTGGGTAAATTTGGTATATCGTTGTGTTTTTCCACCAGTCCTCATCAATGATTTGGGCGGCGGCCAGTTGGGCCACAAGGGCAATCGCAAACGCTCCTGCAACACGCATTGATCGCCCCTTTTCAGATCAAGTGAATTTAGATTTGTGGCAGGTGTGATTATTTATAAGTAGAGGCCACGCCATGTAACTAGCATAATGTTACGTTAAGAACGCGCGATTAGATAAGGGGCTGACGTGAGATTTGAATATATTGTTATAAATACGGGGATAAAATCGAATTCTGGCGATTTGTAAACCACAAAAATTGATTAATTAAGAATTAAATATTTATTTTGTCAACGATGAACGTTATTTGTATTAATTTTCTCTCTATAATCGCTATAATCTATCAATCAGCACAAATCGATGAAAGAATTGGTGAGGTATTGTGACTCGATTCACATCTCCGAATGGCGAGCCTACTTGCCACAATATACGGAGTTTCGCTAATTTAAGTATTACTATTATTAATTCCTCTCTTTCAAATATAACAATATTTTTTGATGTGTTTACTTATTAAAAAGAAAATTGAAAAACTTGTTTGTAGGATGCAAGAACAATTAGAAAACTTTTTAACTGCAATACTGTACTAACGTTAATTTAAATAATATTCATAGATTTAAATTAGTGCGCTGATTAGTTATCTTTGTTTTTATCTTTTTTTTAGATTGGGCTATATTTAAGTGGGATGTTTAAGAGGCTTATTTACGTTAACACATTGTGGGATTGATGCATCATTGGGTTTTACGTAAAACTGAATCTCGTCAGCAGATCAAAACCACGCAGACGTCACACTGAAATTGTAATTGAACTCCTCTCATAATCTGCCTTGAAAGTATTATTTTGTATGATATACTTTGTTCAAAAAAAGTATTAACAGCATATAATATTTGTAACAACTTTTTAAGAGCCAAAAAGATACCTTTTTCGTGGTTGAAATATTGAAACAACAATCTTTTGTGAATTTAAAACCCAAAGAAACCACTCGAAACGGGAAATAATTAAATTAATAAGGTTTTGTCTCAGAATTTCCTGTCTCGGAATGTAATTCCATGTAAAAGGCGTTTAGTCAAAAGTTACTAATATAAACATTTTCTTTGCCATTAAAAATGCATCTCACTATTGAGGACACTAAGTAGTTAAGTCCAGGCCCTGTCCAGGCCATTTAATAAAACAAATAATTTTATGAAATAGCATCGCCTGCTTACTTTTATTTCATTGTGTAATTTATCTACAAAATTTACATCAGTTTTTGATTAAATTCTTAATTAAACAGTGCAAGGAATGTGGAAACCAACAATAACAAAGAAGTTGCTGCAATGGATGTGGCACTGTTTGTGTAAAGGAAAACCAAAGCACCTCTTGCAGGAACCTTCACTGACGACGGAGCAATCATTTCGCTGAAAGTGGGAGGAAAAGTTAAATATTTTATAGTAAAAACTTAAAACTTGTGATCAAATGCATCATAATGTCATAAAGGTATGCAACCTGTTGAGCGCACTTGTTAAGCAGGTTGCTTATCTCTTTAAAGTACGATAATCAATTAAAAATTATTAAAATAATTTCTTACTCAGCGTCATATGGCGATTCCAAAGTGCCCACATGGTAGGTCAACTGTTCTCCTGCTCGCAGTGAGGGAACGGTGCTGGTCACGTCCGCGGTGACCTCTGCGTCATCAACATTAACCACCACAAGGACGGCCTTTTCACCCTCCGTGTCAACCTGTCTGTAATTTATAAATGCATTATGATAGGGATTAGCTTGAATCCGAGTTTCCCAAACCTTGTGAATGCAAAAATATTGTCGCCCACAGTTTTGGTTGTCAGACTTCCCCTCTGGACAGCCGCCCTTTCTTTTCTCAGGGCAGTTAACTTTTTGTAAATGTGGTATGGGCTGTTGGCCATCTCTTTTTGCTCGGCGAGATTGAGCTCTTTATAATTTTCATTCACTGGCAGCCAAGGTTTGCTGGAGTCAGGAATGGTGAAACCTAAGAAAATTAATTAATGAATGGTGTAAATAAATTTAATTATTTGCTACAAACCAGCGTAAGTTGAGTTGTCCCACTGGAAAGGTGTTCTCACGGGGTCTCTAGAAAACTTCTGGTAGTACTCAGGTCCAGCCTGACACCCTTGAGGGTCAACTGTGTCCTTCCACGAAATCCACGTGTCCTCCATGTTGATCTCCTCTCCATTGTAGGTGATGGCAGATCCGGGCAACAACTGGCCCATAATCACGGCGGCCAAACCAAAGTCCCGGCCAAATCGAGAGGCCACTCTTGTTCTGTCGTGGTTTCCAATCTGAAGTACATTTCCAAAATTTTTTGTATTTAAAAAACTAAATTGCTCTTACCACCCAGTTAGACCAGGCTCCGTCGGGCAAACTATTTTGCCACCGATCAATGATTTGTTTCAGTTCGGCTGCCGTTGTTTCGTTTTTGACATTAGTGACAAATTCAAAGTTGAATGGGAAATGAGCTCCTTTTCTGTCACCACTTCCGTAGTACTTCATTGTGTTTTCCAAACTGGTGTACGCTTCCACCATCATGACCCTAAAGAACGGGAGTTTCAGTCTCGGAGACTTCAACGATTGCACTTCCCAAATTCTTACATTTGTCTTCCGAGCTCGGCCTGCTTCTGATCGACGACGTCTCTGAATCCGTAAATCACGTCGTAAAGTTCGGGCAAATCGGTGGTGTAAATGTGCGAAAGGTAGCCCCACTGGTCAGACGTGAATTCGGGGTCGTTTGACAGCGGCTCGTCAGGGAAGCTTTGGTCCTCCAACAAGTGCGGAATGGCGTCTAAACGGAAGCCATCGGCGCCTTTGTCCATCCAAAAGCGGAGAATGTCCTGGACAATATTTTTTTTAATTAGAAGCAGTGCAATTTTTTTTACTAGGAATACAAGTTAAAAGCAAGAAAATTCTATGGATCAGTAAGTTGTTATTGAAATGCTTTGTTTGCAATTTCTTAGCTGATAAGGACTTAAAAAGGATTGATTCATTTTACATCTTCTCCTTGTTTGATCAATGATAAATTCGCCACTTTAAAAGTTTGCTTGATATTCAAGCCCATGACAATCGTTTTCTTATCCATACTAAAGCTTGGTCTTGGTCAAACGTCATAGCTCATTACATAACCATTTGAAATTGAATTTTAATGTTTATATTAAATAAATATAAATAAAATTCATATTTACTTATATTTTAATTTTGTTCAATTCTAACGTGTTTCTCTGAAGTACCATGATAGTTTAAATATAGAATGTTATAATGCCAATTGATAACTTCCGTTTACATTGCATTCTATTCAAAAGCTAAACTTAATATTTATTATCATTAGCTAAATAGAATAAAAATAGAATAATATATATATAATATTTATTAATATTCTGTCATTACTCTTCAATTTTAGAATTAGACTTTTAGAAAGAGATGAAATTGAGTTAAATAGAAAAAAAATTTAAAACAAGAAAAATGTATCAGGTAATGGTGACGTGCAAGTATTGAAAAAATAATACTATTTAAAAAAAAATCATCAAAAAAGATTTTCTTTTAAAGTTAAATGTCATTTGAAAGTAAAATTTATATCGTTTGCTACATACGTTCATTTCTTCAACAACTGCTGGATTTCTGTAGTTTAGATCAGGCTGTCCGGCAACAAACTGGTGTAGATAGAATTGTTCTCGCACCTCATTGTATTCCCAAGCAGAGCCTCCAAAAACGCTGAGCTGCAGTCAATAAAATTTTGTATTGTCCTCAAATCCGCTTAAATTATAATCAATTTCATACCCAATTGTTTGGTGGAATGGGACTTCCACTTTCGTTCAAACCTTTAGGATCAAGCCACGTGTAGTAATCAGTGTAAGGCTCTTCTTTATAAATGGACTTGTTGAACCACACGTGTTCATCGCTTGAGTGGTTCGGGACAAAATCAAGTACCAATTTTAAACCTTAAAAACAACGGTGAAACAAGTCCATTGATTATCCAATTATTTAATTACCTCTTTCTTTGCATCCTTTAGCAAGATTTTCGAAATCGGCCATTGTGCCGAAAATGGGGTCGATGTCCCTGAAGTCGGAAACATCGTAACCAAAATCCTTCATTGGCGATTTAAAAACTGGGGAGAGCCACACACCGCCGATGCCGATGTCGACAAAGTGGTCCAATTTTTGCAATATTCCTTAAAATTGAAATCAAATTATTTATCTGATAATTTTTACTGAAGAAAGTAACTTCTTTTTTGAAAAAAATCTCAAGAAATCATATTATTTTAGCGAAATTTGCGTTATTGAATGTGTTTGAAAAGATAATTTGGAAAAAAAGAGCAAGTTTTATTCAACTAAAAATAATTGTACCAATTACTGTAAAAATGAAAAAAACAAAACAAATATGATAGTTCTGACGAAAATTTTAAGCGTAATTAAATTAATTGCAAGTTTTAATTTTTGAACAAAACAGCCGTTGAAACTTTTCTTTTACCTTCATTTCTGTAATTTTTTTACTTGCAAAAGAGTAATTTTCATTGGGTGACAATTTCTGTATTGTATAATTAACTCACCTTTCAGATCACCGATTCCATCAGCCGTCGTATCCTTAAACGATCTAGGATAGACCTGGTAGAAGGTGGTGGTTTTCCACCAGTCCACGTCAGCGATTTGGGCGGCGGCCAGATGGGCCACGAGGGCGAACACGAACGCTCCTGCAACACGCATTGATCGCACTTGACAGATTAAATGAATGGATTCACGGCGGGTATGATTTATAAGTAGGCCGTGTGACGGACAGACCGAGCGATTAGATAAGGTGCTGAGAGCACCATTCTTGAGGGATTCACTAGATTTCCTATGAGTAAATAGATTGATATGCGGTCATCCTTTAGCTGCGAAGGACATTTTTTCTGTCCAGTCATTGAATAAATTATCACACAAAGGCGGTTCTTGAAAAAATAATGAAATATTGTGTATAATTATGAAATAATAAAGTTTTCGTCTAATATTCTATAGAAAAAATGTGGATTTGGTTTTGAAGGTGCAAAGTTATAAAAATAACATGATTACGTAGCTGCAAGAATTTTTTTATTAAAATAAATGACATCTTTAATGATTGCTATATTTTTTGTACAATTTTTTATATCTTTGAGTAAAAATCGATGGGGAGACTGGCGGGATGAGCGTCAGATGGCGACTCGATTCACCCCTCCGATCGTCAAACAACCCTTACATCTGATGCGAGAAACGAAATTTCGCTTATTTAAGTTTCCATTAAAATTAAAAATAATGAAATAAATCAACGAAAAAGTTTCTGTATTGCCAAAGAATTATTTCAAATATTCAACTGCACCCGAATAATAAATTGATCGCGCTTTTCCACGCAATTTATTACACAGTATTAAGTGATAGAGTGTTATTTATGGTTCTTATAGGATAAGATAAGAACATTTTATTGAAAACAGCAGGTATACCAGTGAAATAAACAATAAAATAACTAAAATTTACCATATCTTTTTGTTTGTCTGTTTCTTGAAACATTTTATTTTTACAGCACAAAAGAATTAAATCAACAAATACACTGTCCTTGCTCTTTTCCAAATTTTTTTCTTATTGTTAGTTTGAAGAATAAATAGGATGCTTTTGGAAACCTTACTTATCCTTAAAGTTAATTTTAATTTCTTCTAGCTAGATAAAAAACAGGAATTGAAGACATGGTAAATTATAAATTAATTATAATTGTGACTGAAAGCTATAAATGATCATTTTTCATTTGCCTTATCTTAAGACATTTTAAGACTTTTATCGTTAAAATCATGTTAAATACAGGGGATAATTCCGAATAATTCTTTTTTAAGATAAGAAATGAATGCATTGCTATAAAAAATTAATTTGTGCGGCTTATGTAAAAAATTTATGACTGTTGGAATTTGACTCTAAATAAGCTACACGTTTTAAAATTAATATCACGTTTAAGGTTGTAAAAAATTTCAAATTGCAGTCTGTTGAATTTGATGCAATTTTTCCTATCTGCTCTCCCTTTGTGTATCAAATTCCACCTTTTCCTTACATCGGCGTAAAGAAAATGTTATTAAAACAACACAGAAGAAAAGTGGAAAGTTTCCAACCTGATGGGAAAAGGGAAAATGCGTCGGAAAGTCGAGCTGCTGGGAAGATTGTTATTTCGGAAATGCATTATGGATGACCCTGGCCAGTTATTACTGGTTATTACTGCGTGTGCGAACTGTCCCTGGAGAGGAGCGGAGAGCTGGAGATCATTTCGCAGAGATAGAGAGAGAGAGCAGCCACTCTTTTATCGGCGAGCGCAATTTTTCCGTTTTTATTTCCTCCGGAGAGAGGCCAGTGGCCAAAATAATAAGCGTCGGCCGGCGGGGGTTTTGTTATCGTTTCGCTGAATTAAATTTAGAGAAATAGCGGCGCGGCGGCTACGGAAAGGAGAATATAAAAAAATTTTACGAGAGCGCGTGTGTGGTGTTTGGTCGTTGTTTAAGATAAATGGCCGGCTGTATTGTGTTTGGCTCATGCATTACACATGAAACTCCCTCAAGCGAGCAGAGTTACTGCGTTTTCGGCCGGCCAGGGGTTGTGTTTACATTTTTCTCTTGTGTAATTTTTTTATTTCACTTTGCTTGTCAGAGCCAAAAGTCATCTCGTGTGTGTCTGCTTTTGGCAAACGTCCCGGCACCTCGTACTGCTGCCTTCCGTTTAATTTGACAAATTTCCAAACAAACCATCAAAAACTGACAATGAATCGCAAAATAATATTTATTTGTCTTCAAGTATTTCGATTTTTGTTTAAATAAAAAGATTTAAAAAAGTTACCTGATTTTTAAAATTTAAAACCATGTTTATTCTAAAGATTAAATCAACATTTTTAAGAATTATAATTTAAAAGGAAATATTTAATTTTATAAATATAACAGTATTTATTCAATTTATTTCAATTATCCTTTTTTGAATGCAGCGAATCTCTAAGTACTTCATAATTTATTCACTAATTATACATTAAAATTTTTTTAACCTCAAAGGCTGATAGTGCAAAACTTAACTATTTTATTAATATAATCTCTAATTAGACGTAGTTATCCTAGAAGGAATTCCGTGAGGGTGTAATACTTTCCTAGATCATTATGCAAATCTAATACTATAAAACATTTATATCCAAAATTTCAATACATATTTTTTAATCTTAAGAAATTATTAAAATATAAGTTCCATCAAATTGTTCTAAATTTTATTTACAAGATATTGCAGTATAATTATTTTAATTAACAGTTGTACCAAAAAATATCAAACTTCACATGACCAAAATTTGCAGTAAAGATTTTTGCTAATTCTAATAAAATTGTTGATCGTTTTGTTCCACATTAATTTTTTTTAAAAATAAATTTCAAAATTTACAACATTCAAACAGATTAGCATAAAATTCTGCAAATTTTACTAAAATTTTATCAGAACAATGAAACTTCTATTATATTAGACCCCAAAGTTTAACCTAGCATCTATAAAATTCCCTCCCAACGCCCGTTGGAACTAAAGTTCGGCAGGGTCCGGTTTTATTTAGGTCCAAATATTGACACAAAATCCTCTTTGCTTGTCCGGCGAAGCCTGGAAAGTGGAAGTGCAGCAGAATCAAAATAAAACAAAGGCTTTCAGCCAGAGATGAAGCAAAGTGTTGTCAATGGCGAGGATTGTGCATAATTAACCCGGGACCGGCCGGTTCGGTAGGCGCAGGGGTTACGGACACACATCGCTCATGAATATTCATTCGCACACACGTCTTACTCGCACGAGTATTGCACCGCTCTTTAGCACACAATAAGCGAACGCCGAACTTCCCTCTGCACGTTTTGAACTTTGTTCATTTCAGCCCTTCCCCCACTGAGAGATAGTTGGATCAAAATTTATAGTTAGAGAAAATTTCAAATTTTTCATTTAATTATATTAATGAACCATTGAAATTGCAGGTTCTATAATAAACATATTATAAAAAATACTTAAATTAAGCTCAATATTTAAATAAAAAGTTTCAAGAAAGATCGTTTTCTGAACAAAAAGGATGAGAAAAGTTAAACAAAATTTAATATAATTTCAAAAGAAATAAAAATTAGTTTTAAAATTTTTTCCAACATCTCAATTCAATATTTACCTCCAAAAAGTATGAATTGGAAATTTTTCTTAAGATTTTAATGAATAAAAAGAAAATAATATTTACAATTTTTCATTATTCTCAATTGAATTCAAAATTTATAACAGCTCTTATTTGGCTTCATTAGATTTTTTCACTGAAATTAGACCCTAGACCCAATATCTAAAAAAAACAGGATTTTTCATTAAAAAACTAGACATTTTTTAAAAGTTTCTAATATTTTGACTCGGAAAGACTCACTTCGCAGAGATTCATGCTAAAATTAACTTTGTAGAAAATTAAAAATCTGTTCTTTTTCTCTATTCTAATTATTTACCTAAACTTCAATGTTTTAAAAATATAATTTTTTATTACCAAAAATTGTGTGGGAAATTGTATAAATTTAATATTAAAACAAATTGAGAAAGTGCTACTTAAATTTTCTTCAGCTTTCCCTGCAACAAATCCTACAATAATAGATAACAAGATAACGTTTTTTTTTATTACTTTCATTTATAGAGCAAGCGTTTTTGTGTCCGTTTGGTTTTATCTGATGCTGGTGCCGCGAAGCTCACATGGCAAGAGTAGCGCGCAGTGGTGAAATAAGGAAAAGAGAAGACAATCCAAATCCCGCACCGACCGAGATAAAGAAGTAAATAAAACAAGAGAGATTTGACTTGACAAACACTAAATCTAATGAAAGACTTTTCAACAAATGAAGTTTCCCCGCTGCTTTTCTTTTCCTTCTCTTCCTTTCCACTCGTCACGACGACGCTCGACTTTTTTATTCACCCCACTTGTTCATTAAGCGGCAACTTTCCTCTTTTCCTCCAACTTTTCTTTTTTAATGAACAAACTCCCCTCCCCCGCGGCCTAACAACCCTTAAATTGACTCGCAAATTTTTCCTTCCCTTTCTTTTACAACAAACGCAAAGCGTGAGGCAAAGAATAATGCAGAAAATCTGTTTGAAATTGCAAGTAAAAGTGTGCAATGCTCAAAAAATTATGCATAAAAACTTCCTTTTTTTAAAATTTTAATGTTAATAAATTACATAAAAAAAACAAAGTGTTATTTTTTATTTTGCATCTCTTTTTAGTTTAAAGAATTTATTTAGCAAATAAATCATCGCTCATTCCACTGGAAATAATTTCGCCTCAAGCGAGATTTTCTCTTGCTTTTGTTTCTCCGCTTTTTCGGCACAGAAGCGTTAAGGATTTTTTTTCGGAGAGAAAAGCATCACCTGCGAACGTGCGTATAAACATCTTGAGGGGCAATTGGACAGAACAAACACAAACAGAGCTGTGAATCCGAGCGTGAAACTAAATAAAAATATTAGCCGAGGGCGCCTTGCTGGGAATCACCGGACTGGAATTCTATATTCCTACGAGTGTTTGTGTTTTTAGTTGCTCAGTATTCCTTTGCAGAAATATCCGATGAGATTAAACTCGCCCTTTATCATCGGTTATTTACAGATTTTGCTATTATTTTATTAAGCAACAATTTCAATTGTTATAAGTGAAACAAAACTTATTTAATTTAAAGAGAATATTCAAAGAGTAGAATTAAAATATCCATTGATTTATGAGCTTAACAAAAAAAACCCATTAATTTTCAAATTTAAAAAAACTAAGTTTAATGTTTTTATTTTTAAATTAGGTCCGATTTGGTCTGTGTTTAGGCTTTTTTCACAAAAGAAGTCAGTTTTGTATATATTCGGCTTCAATATTGGTGTTTTTCTTTAACCTACAATTATGTGATTTGTTCTTATTTTTATTACTTGTCTACTAAATATCGCAAATATTTGTAATAGATATAAAAAAAAAAAAGTTTAGAAACTTAATTTTAGCATAATTTGGAATTTTCATATATTATCAAACTATCTTGACAAACATGATATTATGTAAACTCAATAGATGTATGAATTATTGTATTACTTGTAAACAAGACCCTTATTTTTTCGGTTTAGTCTAGTTTCATATTTCCAAAACTTTCTGTTTTTATTATTACATCTTTATTGGGGAATAAAATAAATAATTAAAATTAAAAATTTTAAAATTTTCATTGCCAAAGTACTGCAGCTATGTAATTTTTATTTGATTCTATTTTGCAGTCTTGATCTGGCTGTTTGTTCGTTTTCCATATTAAGCAAAACAAACACGACCTTTAGTCAATATAATGAGCTGCGTTTGAACGTATAAGAGCTACAAGTGCGAGCGAGAGCACGCTGCAATTACATATTTATGAATTCCGCTCTCCGGAGACCCATTCAAATTAATTCAACTTTCGCACTGAGCGCGTTTGACAGGCCGGTCTGCGCTCATATAAATTTAAAGAGGCGCAAATAAACACATCCTTCTGCTCGCAGGTGATTAGTAGCAAATTTATTCCGGTGGCTCGAGAATATCAAATGCTCGAGACCTTTGTATTCCAATCAGGACGGCCAATCCGTGCCGAATGATAATTAATTACACACTTGTTAACCCCACTCTCTTCCACACAAGGAAAGAGAATTTCTGAATGAATCGAAAGAAAAAAATTCTGCGGACTGCATGAATTTTTCATGCGAATGCTGGCAAAAAATAAAATTAATAAAAGAGGGTCAGAATTTGATTGAGGCCTGCCGAATTTTTTTCTCTCTCTCGGTGAAAACAATAAGAGAGACCCGTTTTTAATCTTGTCTGGCGGAAAACAGATGTTCGAGTTCCATCTCATTTCAGAATTCAGGAGGCTTTTTCTTTCTATCTCTCGGCAGCTGCTTTCTTTATGAGAAAATGCTGCAGCCAGATTCGACTCTCTCTTCTCTTACTTCGGTGTTATTGCTTTTGCCCCTTGGAAAAAACGAAGAGAGGAGCTTCTTCTTTGCTGATACAGTCGCCGGCTCGCTCCATATTGAGAACAGCAGCCTCGCTCTCGGTATTATTGCACGCGGCCATTAGCAATTCTAATCACCTCAGACACGACTCGCTGTGTACACATGCTGCTCGCTTCTTTCCTCTTTTCTTCTCTCAGCCCAGAGCAGATCAGCGCCGGGCTTATCTGCCACAGTTCACCTTTTGGCCTCGGAAAAACGCAGCGCCTCTGCACCTGAAAACAGAAAGAGAAGTCGGCAGTTGAATGGCTTTAGTTTTCTATAGTTTTCTTTAGTCAACATTTAATGAAGTTTACAATTTTTTCCCTTTTATATTTGAGGTGGGGGTAAAAATCATATATTTTAGCATATTTCATTTTTTTTTTAATTTTAGAAAAATCGTTGCTAGTTGTGGTGATGAATTTTTTTTTAAAGAATTCAAGGTTTCTCATCCTACACTGTTTTTCTTTCAATAAACATTTTTGTATTGATACATGGGACACTTAAGAAAATTAGTATACATACTATTTTCATTTTTATTGCAAGTTTGAAATGCAGATATGATAAAATCATTTAATGCAAAGAAAGATGATAATTTTTGAGTGGAAATTGATTGAAACTTTTTCAATCATTATATCAAAAGAATAAAAGAGATCTAAACATTTGTTTAATTACTTGATTGAAAAATGACGCATTGCTTTCTCATTTTTATCTGCACTTTCAGCGTCGTTGATTCAGCAAATAACATATATGAATTTTTGGAAGTCTACAAATCTCACTGCGAAGTAGCTACTCATACTTGCTTATCACAAAAAAATTAATATCTTATCTATTCTGATAATTGTTAGTGTTTTCCGAGCACAATAGGTGTTTTAAACTTCATAATCTTTGTTGCGATACACCTGGTTATAATTTTTTGAATTATCATAACAATTCAATTTAATAAAAATTCACAAAAAACTTTGGGTTGAGTATTTAAATTAAGATAAAACTTCTTTATGGTACTTCAGTATATTAGCATACAAATATAGCTATAAAATTTATAAATCTAAGTAAAAAGTGATGTAAAATGGATAATTAAATTGCATTATTCCGAGTGAAGAAAGTTTGCTCTCGAGGATAAGTTTGTTGTTGCTTTATTTTTTTTATTAGCATTTTTTTTTGTTAAATTAGTTTTTAACCTTTTTTTAAATTTAAACTAGATTGATGCTCATACTTTACTAAAGTAGTTTATTTCATTATTCCATTTTTCATGTAAAGATAAGGTAATGTAATATAATTTAAAATTCAGACTTGATCATGGAATCTAAAACAAACAGCTGAAATAATTAATTACGCCTCAGAATTTTCCCTTCAATTTTGTGTTTTGTGTCTTCTACTATCTGCTTGTTTTCATCCGGTAGCTCGGCGAGAAACCGCTGATAATGGCCAAGTCGATTTTTCACTCTCTCGCTAGCGGCGGCAAAGCAGAGCGAGGGTCAATTCATCAAGTGATAAGGCGCACACCATTTATTTATTTGCTCAGCAACCGTCATGACATTTGCGGCGGTCATTCATTATTTTAGCGTTTTGCTTTATCACTGCGCGCCTTTTATTGTTGTTTATGAGGGTTCTCGCTCCACTCTGACATCCGAACCAAATGGATGAGTCTCGGAAGGAAGAAGCGAGACCAGTGGAGGCAAAAAGATGCAATCGTTGTTTTGAGACAGCGAAATTCACTGATTTCGCACGAGAGGATTCTCCATTGTCTCCGACAGGAAGCGCAGACCATTTATTTTCTGTAAAAATATTTTCATACGTACATGCGAGATGACGCAAAAAAGTGTTTGCCCGGTTTTATTTTGAGCGAGAGAGATTTACACATAATTTTTTATGGTGTAAAATTTTGATTGCTTTATGATGAGATAAGTTAAATATTTGCACACAAATTCTCATAGCTCATATACATGATTATTGTAAGAAATAAATTAAAAGTTATAAAATTTATAAAAAAAAATTTGTTCGTCTTGATTTATATGTTTTGCGACAAAAAGATGTTAAAGAAAATTTTATTTTAAAGACACAATGTTGTCAAAGAAAATTTGTAAAAAATGTGAGAAATGAATATCTACAGAAAGTGAGATTTAGAATGTTTGTAACCAATTAAAAATTGCTGGTACTTCTTTTAAAAGTTCAATTTTTAGAAATATTTTGGTGACAAGTAATTAATGAAAAGATTTACCCCATAATTACAATCACGTAGATAAATAACTGAAAGGTGATTATTTCATATTTTATTAATCTGAATTGAATTTCTAAGTAAGAAAATTAAAAACTCTTGCTTCCTAACAGAAAAATTTACACCGAATTGCCTGTGATGTAATTCCTTAAAAATATGTTAATTTATCAGTTTAATTCCAGTTTGATTAAAGTTTTATTACGTAGCTATTTAAAAAAGAGACCACTTTTTATACTCATTTTTGGTGGAAATGGTTTATAATTGAAAAAGCCTAACAAAATAGTAACATTTTTAATAAAACGTTGGCATAAATGTAAATTTTCAAAAAGGTCTGGGCAAATCAAGGCTCGTCAATTTGTAAGTAAATTTTCCTGTTCCTAGTTTAAAGCGAAAGTGAAAAATTAAAAATTAACAATTAAAATTTGATAATTGACTTCACAAGCAATTCTTTTTGTTTGTAAAATTACGTAATTTATTGATTGGCTGGGAAAATGCGAGTAATATTCCTTTCCCACTTGGACCCTGGAGATAAAATCGTTCTGGCGGTTTCTACCTCCAATCTGTTTTTCTTCCCACAAGCAGGAGAGCAGGAGAGGCTGTCGAGTCCTGGGGCGGTGCGGCCATAATGTTGTATAAATTTCCTCATTTATTTGTAGATTCGCTTGGGTTCTTCTTCTTCTTCTTGGATCAAAGCAGCTGCATCTCTCTCTCTCTCTCTTGCTCGCTCGCAACTCTGCCAACCACACACATGTGAAATAAATGCGGTCCATCACGTTTTTGAAGCCCACTTTAATAATTCATGAAGTGTCCCGAGCAATCCTCTTTGCCGAGACGCACAGAGGCGCTTATTTCGCTCTATTCTATCTACACCCGTCCACTTTTCATGCTTGTAGCAACGCTCATGAAGAGGCGCCGGAAAATATAAATAAATCCTACCTGGCGCGCACACACAATCCATACTAAGCGAAAAGTAATTTGAAAAAAGAGACACGCCAGTTATCGCGACTATGTTGAATGACAAATTCTTCCAAATTCGGTTTGGGTGAGCTATGGGATGAGGCACTTCATACTTGTGTTGAAATGGAAATTTTAAATTGAGAATCTGTGAAAAATTTCTTTATTTTTAAACAAATTATAATTAATTGCTATTTAAAAAAATATTTTTGGCAATTAGCTTATAATATTTTTATAATTAGCGCTAAATAAATATTTTTGTAAGTTTTGAAGGTTTTAAAGGCAATTTAATTCCCGTTTGCTAACTTATGTAAACAAAAAATGTGTCAAATGGCAGCAATTCCAAGTATTATAATAAAAAATAAAAATAATAAATTGTGAACCCCCTTCTATAATTTGTGAAATATTAAATCTGTTAAGAGGCAACTATCGTTTTCGGAACTGTCTTGTAGTTATAATATATATTCATCATCCAATCGTGTCCTGCTTAAGATTCATTGAATAAAATTTTTTCCTATCAACGTCTTGCTAATTAACGACGTCAAAAAAAGTGCAAAAAATGAAAATTGTTAATAAAAAATCAATTTTCTCAATTACTCTGAGCAAACGTTGCAAACTATAGCATGCAAGCCTACTCATAATTTAATGAGACATTGTGAATTACTTGCTAATTTTGGTGTAGCTAAATCCCATAGGAATATTTATTTTGAAATAGACCAGAGCCATAAATATTCATGCAGGAATTTGGCCCATTTCGCGTCATTTGGTGCTGCAGTGACAATTTATTAATTCCACTGCAGGAGCTCGTAAAAGCGGCGTGAGCACACCTTTGGGGCGCAAAAATGAAACGAATGCAAACGATCGCGATAAGCCTCGGGCCGAAATTAAAACACCCAGGCAATATGTAATTAATTAATCGGCGAAAAAGCGAGCGCTCGAATGGGTCCTCGGTGACTGCAGTTGAACGAATGAAATATAAAACTCGCTGGGTAATTGTAATGAGCCGGTGGCTGATTAATTTATGGCTAATGCTGCAAAACGCGCGCGTCAACGATCACGACTTGTTGTGGATCAAAATAAAATAATATGCGCGCACACAGAGCGGCTCCCCTGCCATCAAATATTTTATCCAAACATTACGTGAACCATAAAACAAACTTGTGCTGACCACACTGCCATTACACCCCAATGATTCTTCATCAATAATTTATTATTCGGCCCCGATGAGCACTGACAAAAAATAAAATCGCCCACTCGTTTTTTTTTTGCCCACGCTAAACAATAATATTTTCCCTTGCTGGGGATGAGCAGAACTGAATTGTCAGCCAAATGTAGTTTTCTCCCCTTTGGAATGTTAGTATTAAATTTTATTTTTTTGGTTTTATAATGGTTTTCCCTTAATTTAATTAATTTAAATCGTGGAAATTACAATTATTGGATCTTTGTAAATATTATAAATAAAATGGGTGTTTATGCCTTTATTGGCGATGTTTAATAATTCGCTAATTTTATTGTTTGACAATAATAACAGTTGTTTGTACAAACAGCCTTTTTTTAATTAGGTTTGAGTTATTTTCCTTGCTTGTTATCAAACATACGGTTTTAAATGCAATATGCAGTCCATGTATGTATTGTCTTGACAAGAAGCCGTTCTGGACGAGTTGAATTCTATCCAAGGATTTTCATCCAAGAAGTCACTTTGATTCATGAACAAATACTCATGGACAGAAATCATCTTGTCCACATATTGTCAACAATATTATTTTCAAACTAAGGGAATTTCTTAATTTTACATCTTTACAATTAAAAATAGAATAAATGGCTTATACAAAAATCTTTTTTAAATGCAGTCACGTTCCTTGCAGTATTTAGATTTAATTATAATTAATTAATGGCACATTCTAGCAAGAACGTACTCTAATTTATTTTTAAATTTTTATTACGTAAAGAGTTAAATATATTTTGCGTTACATTACAAAAATTCTAAATTTCAAATAAAATAAAAATAAAAATGAATAATTGAAAATAATAAATATATTTGTATTAAGACAATAAAATAACATA